TTTTCTATTTATCTACATGTACAGGCTGTAGGAAATTTTATGTTCTTGATGTGGAATTTATAAAAAGTCTAAAAAAACTTTGAATTTTTGCTTTTGAATATACAGTGTATTTTATTTTGAGGCTACAAATGGATCTTCATAATTTTTAAGTCCAACTTAGAGTTAAGTTCGACTTAGGATCTTTGTGAAACACCCCCCTGGGCTATGACATACAATGTAGCAGACCATTATACATACTGTATAATATGTAAGCTACAATCAATGTGCCACGCCCACTTTTTTATGTTAGTGTATGTTGAGAAAATTGTCAATTACCAGTACAATACAGTCAGTACATGTATTATTCACTTCATATCTGGTACTGTACTGAACATGTACATGCAAAGAGCCTAATTTTTTCCTGTATTGCTGCACAGCTCAAAAGCGTTACGACACTGCTTCCCCATCCCTATCTGTGCATATTTAGCCTTATTCTGCACAGGCCTTTGTTAATATGAATGCCTGGGTGCTTTTCCTCAAAAGAGTAGTTATTTCAACTGAACAGAACTATTTCCTGGTCATTTCCTGAAAACCAGAATTTTTATCAGTAGTCACTATTGAGAATTGAAAGGGAAACTCCAAACTTAGATCTACATGTACATGTTTTGTGTTGTTTTGGTTTGGTTTGATTTCACTGTATACTTATCGGGTGAAAAAACTTTGAACTTTGAATCCTCCTTTGAACAAATGGCCTTTAAAATCCAAAGGAACTTTAAGGAAGTACTGGCACATAATGCTTTCCCTGTTTAATTTGCTGAGTCACTACTGTTTTTCTTTAAAATGGCATGAAAAGCCAGAGTTTCAATCACCAATGTACATGTACTGTAGTCTATTGTCAACTGGTAAACAACCTCCTATTTGGGAAATTTTGTGATGAGTTTTGGTAACATGCTCTTTTGGAAAGAGCATGCCACAATAAGTTTACATGTACATGTAAGAATGTTTTTTTTTTTAAATTTTAAAATGGGTCTGATAGTTTTGAAGCATTTTAAAGGTGATGATTTTGGTCTTTTTTAAGATTTTTGAATAATTTGTTAATACAAAAAAAAAGTGCACTAGGGTTATGTATTGATAATAATTGAGGTTTCTTTCATATAACTTCACATTTTTCACTAACATATGTTGCTTGGATAGATAATTGCTAAGTGTAAATATTTCCATCATTCTCATAAATGATAACATAAACTTTGGGTTACCGGTACTTGGCATTAGACAGTATAGCCTACACTAGGAATATGATAATAATAATAATAATAAAAACTTTACTTACATGTATAAAGCGCTTACCATCGAAGTCTCTAAGTCTAAGCGCTCTAACACACAAAATAGACTGATAAACAATTACATATTAAACAAAACAAAAAAGTGCAAATAAACCTACAAATTACAATACATATGGAATACACATCAAAGTGAACAGAGTTAATCATCGAACGCAATTTTGAATATGGTAAATGTCTCTTAGATAAACCTTAATTTATTCATTTTCGTTAGCAATATTTCATATCCTTATCCTGTATTTTTTTTAAAAATCCTTTTTGTTGTTACTACTTTAATGTTTTGATTTAAACATTTATTCATTGTTATATATTTTTTCTCATTTGCTATGTTATCTTTATATGAACACATGTTTTTGAATGCTTTTTTTATTGATGTAAACTTGCATTTTTAGTCCTTGGACTTTTTGACAAGTCATGAATAAAACCTTATTTGAATCTTGAATCTTGAATCTTGAAAACCTCTCCAAGTGCAAACCTACATGTACTATAAAAAATGAATATACCGGTATATCCATTATTCTTTTCTGCTATTAACTGTACACCTTTTGAAACCCTGACAGCGAATTAAAATGCACCAAAACCTTCTGTGCTTGAAGTTTAGACTGACACCAAGTATACAGTGTATTCATTCAATTTCCTGATTTGAGGCCGAAATCTGAACTACTTGTATTGTACATGTGTGATGTTGAGCTACATGGACATTTACAAACATGCAAGGAATTGAGTCAAAACGATATTAATGATGGATTTATAAAAGTTGTGTATTGTGCAAATTGCACCTGTCTTTGCACAGGGATATCACTTACATGTACGGTAAAATCACCTGCATTTGTGAATGACCAGTATTCAGTGAAATCCTCCCCATAAAGATCTAGCTCACATTCTATACAAAGAGATTGGTGCACTTTGCTTTCATTTGTTGAGGAAAGATTCGCATAATATCTGTAATTGTGTAGTAAAGCGCTTAGAGACTGTATTACGTATCAAGCGCTATATAGATTATTATTATTATTATTATAAACAATAACAAGTACATGAAAGTGTGGCACGAGGGAAATATTCATGAATGATATAACAAGGTTTCCGTTATATGATTTTGCTGGTCCCAGCTTTTTATATTCTTTTAAATTTTTTACCCTGATATGACAGGATTCCTAATATAACGAGGTAATTTCCATGGTCCCACTACCTTGTTATAATGAGGTTTCACTGTATTTTCCCTCTTTCTCTATTCCTCTATTCCCCCTCTCTCTTTGTATGTTTACGGGTACATGTAAATGATCTAGAACTGTATACAGTTCTTCCAAAAAGTCCATTGAGAATATAAATATGAAATGTAAACTGGGTCTTGAGTGATTGAGGGGGTGGATCAAATGCCTCTTGATTAAAGCCTGCATTCTTTGTTCAATCTAAATAAAGAGCCCGCCCGTAGCCATCTCAAAGAGCCGTTAATTAATGACTCCAGTCTGCTCTCCGCATGCTAACACCCCTCTGTCGCAGCAAATAGATGGAGAAAGTCAGGCTACGTGTACATACCGGTACAGTATTCCATACTCATAGTACACCAAGTTGTGATTTTATTCTCTCTACATATACGGTACCTTCATGTTGTATGCATGTCGTCCATAATGTACAAATTGCAAATTCAGGCACAAACATGCGAATATAGTGTAGTTTTGCAGTGCATAATAATAATGGTGATGATGATGAAGACGACGATGATGACAATGATGATGATTATGATGATAATAAGAAGAATAATAAGAATAAGAATACAATTAGTGGAGTGTTGTATTAAAGATAGCGCTCTTGTTTGGCACATTGCTACTCAAGAGCTCCAGCTTAAGCACGGTTGCCAATTTGAGCATTATAAGGAATTAATTCCTGCCAGGGTGCCTTTGTGGAACGTGGCAACAACACTTCTACATATACATGTACTGTACATGTGCAACTAACAGTACACATCTTAAAGGGGAAGTCTAGCCCAGTCCACCCAACATTGTGTCACTTCGATAAATTAGGAACAAATTTTTGTTTTGCACTTTTATTATGATACATGTACAAAATGTACATATGTAGCTCACATTGTTAGGACTGTATACAGTAAGCCTGTGCAGTCTATACACTGATTTTTTGTTGGAACTTGCTAGAACATTAAGATACACGACATAATAATGATAATATAATCAGCTTTTATAATAGCGCTTAATACATCTCGGATGTCTCTAAGCGCTTTACAGATATACTATTACCCGGGTCATTGGATTCAGTGCTTGCCCCGCACTCTGTATACACAATCTCCACTCTCTGGGGAGCATTCCAGCCAGGCGTGACTTGATGCTCAAAAACTGTTTGACCAACAACCAAGGTCCTGCACCTTATCTGTGTGTCTCATCAGATACATCAAACATGAAGTGAAGAAACTTTTTGAGAAACCATTTTAAGAAACTACTGTACGCGTACTTGAAATTCCTCAAATGAATGTAGATTGCAATTTCTGTAAATTCCAGGGTCTCAGAGAATAACCTTTGACCTGGGTCTAGCCATCACCAATGTTGGAATATCTCTCTGGGTACATCATATTCAGTCCATTGGAGCTCATCTCCCCTATGCCTGATCAAGCATATACCTGTAGATAATCTGGATATACTCTGGGTATTGGTGCTAATGCATTATTTTGTATACAAATTTCCTTATTCAATTGTGTTTTAAATTTTCCCCTCTAAATAACTAGGCGTTGTGGCGTGCGCCTGCAATCCAGCTATCAATGGAAGTTACAAACTGTAATGGTTTTCCATTTTTGTTTGTAGAGGGAGAGATAAGTGAATTTAAGAAGTACTTTTGTGTCGTTTTCTTTTAAAAGGCTTTGCTGCTGGTCGTATACAAGTCTTCTCACACATTTGCTTTTTTAAAATAAATTATGTAGCAATAAAACCATAGCTTATAGTTATATGTGCATGTGTTTATGATGGTTCTAGGACAATTACACCCACCCCCAAGGACAATTACCCCCCCCCCCCCATGGAAAATTATCCCATGGACATTTACCCCTTGAGAACAATTAACTCACTCTCCTGAAAAATTATTTTCTCAGCTGATTAGGGTGGACGGAACTCTTATCCTAAACCCCGATCCTAACCCTAACACTAAACTCTTAGCTTAACCCTAATTGGTCTACTGATGCATGGTGAGATATCCTGCAGTTGTGCTGTGAGCCCAAATTAGTTCTTATGAATTATTCCAATATCATACCCTCCATTTTACAAGTCACTTTAAAGGGATCGTTTAACAATGTTAAATCTGAGATACACGGCCCCACGTGTATCAGTGTCTGTGATACGGTGTAATATTGAAGCCCTAAAAAAATTGCGCTTCAAAATGATCAAGAAGTGCCTCCAAAAAGTAAAAATCTGTGAGTGACCGGTTTTACTATACTTGTTTTCCCCAATAGACTGTAGTGTTATGAAAACCGTCAGGCGAACGGTTTACAAAATTTGTAATTCCAATCATAAATATCTTGATAATCAGACAGGCGATCGGCTTGTAAAAGTCATGGGGTTCCTGACTGACCTAAAGGTTTATAATTATCATTGCATCATGAGCTAAATCCGAATTTTGTTTCAGAATCTGAGACAAAGTTACCGGATCCCTTTAATGTATGTGTGTGTTTTATATATACAGCTATTGACAAATACAAGCCGCAAGATGCCACAACAAACCCCTCGCTGATCCTGGCCGCCGCCCAAAAACCACAGTATGCTGCCCTCATTGACGAAGCAGTGAAACATGCAAAAGAGAATGCATCGTAAGTAACCAGGGATAACCATTATACATGTATGACAAAGTTTTGTTAACCCGGCATATTTTCACAAACCTTCATACATGTAAGTGCAAGTTGCACAACATCCCATTGAAACGTGTGTATTTAGTTTAACTGTTTCATTGGATGTCCGTGAACTTATGCTTACACTGTACATGTATATGATGGTTTCTTGAAATGCTGCCACGTTGCCTACAGGAGCAGGGTGGCTTCTGAATTCATCTTTTATTCCTTTAATGCAACCAGAAGGTAGGATTTCAAATACAAATAAAAAATACAAACAGATCTATACATAACAATGGTAGAAATAATTTACACAAAGAAACTGTCTGATGTACATAAATGTATGAATGTGGTTGCTTAAACAATCAAATTATAGCATATTATCAAATATATTAATGTAAGCACATGATTACAATATTGCAGAACAATTGTGTTTAACATCAGATGTAGGTGAGGTACAGGTATGTCTATAACCTTAGCAGTTTGTAATGAAATTGATAATAATAATGGATACAAAAATAAAGAAGAGAACTGTTGAGAGAAAGAAGGATGTCTACCAGAATAAGGTTAGGAAATTTGACTACTGTTAGAAATCTGATTGCATAGCAGTCGTCCAATGGTGGTGGTCTCCTGCATTCTAAATTACCTCACTAATTTATTGAAAAATATTTACTATATACTGTAATTCTTATCTGATTTGTATGCTTCGTACATGTTTATCGTATGATATAATTGTACATGATTTTCTATTTAATTACTTTTGTAAACATTTTATTCATTGTATTTGCTATTGGTCGAATTTTTGTACTTTGAATTTGAATTTGTATCTTTTTGAACGCAGAAATAAAATCAATCAATCAAACAAACAAACAATGCTAGTCATGTGTATGTTTTATTGCAGGGTGCTGGATGACCAAGTGAATGTAGCCATGGACAAACTGGTGACCATCTTTGGCTCTAAGATTCTTAAGATCGTTCCAGGGCGGGTCTCTACAGAGGTAGATGCCAGGTAGGTTTTTTGTCTTTAGTTATCCATTTGAAATTCAAGGAAACTTTAGTGTCAATTTTGATTTCAAGGTGATTTCAGTGTCAATTCCAATTCCAATTTCAATTTAAGTTTCATTTTCTTTCGCTTTTTCATTCTCAAACCCAGAGTCATTTTCAATATCAATTTTAATGTCGATTTTGATTTCAATGTCAATACCAATTTCAATTTCATTTCTAACCTCTCTTTCAATTCTACCTGCAGTTTGAATTTAATTTACAATTTTGGTAGAAAATATTTGAATATTTTGAAGTTTGCAGTTCCCTATCTCACGTGTACATAGTTACGGTTGATATCAATTGCAAATAAGTTGCAATTAATATCAACTCTTTATAAGACCGGGCCTTGAATGATAAGCAAATATCTATAGATAAAGAAAACAATGGTGGAATGAGTTCCCAGTGCTTCCCACAGAATAAACAATTGGTCATGTACATGTAAGCGCCGGATGTCGATTTGTAGAAAATGTCCAATTACTGATACATTATCAAATATATATGAAGAAAATGATGGTAAATAAAGTCCTACAGAAGCAGTCAAACAAAACATACTGTGAACATTCAAATATTTAAACAAATGATATTTGTCAAACGACTTAAGTAGAAGATTAATAGTTGCTGAGTCATTAGGAAATACAGATAAAGAAACTAAGCTACACATACATGTATACAGTAGCTGTCCTGGCTCGGGTGTAACATGGTTTCTATGGTCTCTATGGTTTGTGCTGCTTGTGGAAAGTGATTTCCAGAATAGTAAATGATGCAGAATCCATTCAAGCCACTTTCTTTTGAAATGGGGAGGGGGTAATATGCTTTTTTTAAACACCATCAACATTGAGAAGAGCCCTTTTATAAAACTTCATTTTTTTCAGTCCCCGGGCATTATTATTTGTGTATAATTTCACTGTTTTTAATCTGATATTGCCCAAACTTTCACTAATTTGTTTCTCAAATTTTTCTGCTTTGATTAAAACCAAGAAAATATCTGGGTTGACTTCCCTGTAACATTATTATTTGTGTATCACTGTTTGCTTGTTTGGATCTTTTGACAATGTGTTTCTGGAAATTATTGAATGAAATAGAATACCGGTATGTGTTCTGTACGTGTACATGTACATGTAGATATTAAAATAAATAAATGAATAAACAGACTCAAGTACAGATTTCAATTAATTCTTAGGTGTAATAATGTTAAACCAAGAATAACAATTTTGTTTAACATTTTACATTTTTGGAAAAGGCTCGTTCAGATCTATATGTGGTGGTAAACCACATCGGTTTTGTAACATGTAAAGGAATGGCAATCCTACTTTTCACATTACATTTTTACACAGATAAACCTATTGGTATTTAGCCACTTTGTCATACTGTACATTAGCTTCTCGACATTGTGTAAATAACTTTTCGGTTCAGAGTTTTTAGAGAAATCTAGGTTTTCATTTTCATGTTGTGTCTCGTGATGTATTACATGTATGCTCTGCCATTAAATGATTGAATGTCAGCGTATATATCTTGTTAAAATTAATTACATTGTCTCTTCAAAGTTAAAATATAAATGTGTACAACTGCATCATCGTTTATCTTCTACAAAACAAGTGCAATACATATTTGTACTTTTTATGTTGATGTTCTGACAAATACGACCTTTCAAGAAAGAAAAAATCAACAACAAAAAATCAACAACAAAAAAACAAAAAAAAAATCATTAAAAAATCCTACGGTACTCATGGAACTTTGTGTATAAGATACAGATATGTGTAAGGCATTTTACACTCACCGTCACATCATCATATTAAAAAAAAAAAAAAAAAAAAATGTTGCAGTTTGCAACTGCATATTTGAACATGATTTAAACATTTAACAACTAAAATGATGACACAATTTTGAATAAATGGTACAGATTTTGAAGAAAAAAAAAAAAAATACATGTAACCATCTCTCCATTCCCTGTTGCTTCTCAGGCTTTCCTTTGACAAGGATGCTCAGATCGCTAAAGCCCGAAGCCTCATCAAGCTCTATGAAGCGAATGGAGTCAACAAAGAACGCATCCTCATCAAGCTCAGCTCCACTTGGGAAGGCATCAAGGCAGCAGAGTAAATTCAGTTCTTTCTTCTTTTCATTTCAGTTTAATTTCTTTCTTTCTTTCAAGGAGAAGTTTTATTCAATTCAATTCAAAGGATATACATGTATGGCAAAAGTCTGAAGACTAGCATTGTCATATTGACAGTAAAACAAAAGGAAAACAGGAAATGTAATTTCAATTAATTCTTAGGTGTAATGTTAAACCAAGAATATCAATTTCGTTTTCCATTTTTCCATTTTTGGAAAAGGCTCATTCAGATCTATATGTAGTGGAAGCTTACAATAAAAGTGTACATTGACATATGATAGTTCAATAATACTCCCTCCCCCCCAAAAAAGGGAAACAAAAAAGAAGAAAAGACTGTTGCATTATGCATTAAAAAAATATGAAATAGCCATTATTATAAAAAATCATATTAAATAGAGCTATACAATATTATTGTATCAAAAAGTGAAAATGTTGAGGAATCGTTGTTCAAAATTTTGTTTAGCTCTTTTATATACTGTGCCACTTTGTATTAATCATGGGATAGACATACCAAAGGCTTCAAGATTATTTAGATGTTTCCAGTGCAAGAACAATCTATGCCGGTGTTAAAATGGTTGTCATGGAGCTAATCAAGATATGAATTGTGTAATTTTGCAAAGCCATTGTGTTGCACAGGTCCTCCTTCCATCAATGGTTGCCTCTTTGTTTTGTGCAAAATGGCATGTGTGTCAAACAAGTAGCCATGCAGATTGGCGAAGAAAGCAACTGAAAGGTTAACATGCTTTGTTTTTCTTTATTTTTATTCAGGGTATTGGAGAGAGATGATGGCATTCATTGTAACCTGACTCTGCTTTTCTCCATGGCCCAGGTGAGCTACTGTAAAACCTCAAGCATTTGCGAGTACAGAAAATATTAGATGAAATTAGATTAGATTAGATTAGAGTAAATTCCCAATAGTTTTATGCTGCCAAATAATTGAGTCACAACTCTGCACGTGCATTGTTGTATCAACTTTAAAGGTATAGACCAGTTTTGGAAACGTCCCCCTCTCAAAAATGAAATGGAAGCTCTTATTACCAATCATGTGAAAGAATATGTTTTGACTAATAAGTGATGATACAAATTTTGCTGGGAAACCGCCTACTAATTGATATATTTGGTAAATTATCATATCTATTAGGCATGGATAGATATCGCGTATACATATTTCTGTGTACAATGCTTGTAACTTTACCAAGACTGGGCCAAATTTATTATCATTTTGATGATTCCAGAACCTTGCAGTACACTCCAATACTTATATGCTAGATGATCAACCTTTTCTGATCAATTCCACAACGTTTCTTTCACAATGCAATCGCATGACCAGAACTGGTCTTAACCTCTAATTGGCATATTCAATCACCCATAAGTTGGAAAATATAGATTCAAATTTAAGGTGTTAATCATGCACCTTAATCACGAGATATTGGGATGAAATAGCATGGTAGTTTGGATTTTTTTTTGCTCAAAATGCAAGATAAATCAACTTTTCTCTCAGCTCAACCCCTTTTAAGCTATAGTATCATTGATGGCTAATCTGTCAACTACAGGCTGTAACATGCACGTTTTAGGTGTTAATTTTGCACCCTCATCTTATTTCAAAGTTATTTGATATACTTGTAATATTTTGATGGCAATTAATTAGGTGAATGGAAACCCCGGTATAAAAAATTGAACATGTTACATCATAATTTTAGGGAGAGACAATGCTATTATGTTATTGAAATTGTGAATTTTCTAATATGTTATATATAATGGGTACTTAATTTCTAGTTTGACGTTACATTTGCTTGTGCCTCTCCTTTCTTTATTTTCTTATTGTTTATCCTTGATTCGTTACTCTCTTTATTTGTCCTTATGCTATATTTTTACCAGTCTTCCGAGTGCATCAGTTGGTTAGGGGGAGGGACCTTTACGGTTACAGTGATTAAGTTTGCTCTCTTCTTCCCTGGCCGCCATCTTTTGCACTCCAAATTACACCAAATTTTCTCTCAGCTCAACCTCCTTTATACAAAGAATAATCTAGATGATCATTGATGACTAATTGATCTATCCTTGCTCTATAGGCTGTAGCATGCGCTGAGGCCAAGGTGACCCTCATCTCGCCGTTTGTAGGTCGTATTCTGGACTGGCACAAGGCAGCTTCTGGCAAAGCAAGCTACGAACCACAGGATGATCCAGGTAACTATAATGCACGCACCGCTACTAACAAAGCACAAGTCCTTCTCGTGCAAATTGGCAACTTTTGGAGTTCAATAATAACATTATTATTATTATTATTATTTATTTGACCAATCGGAAAACATGCAGTGGGTATAACAATGAGATAATACATAGAAATATCATAATACATACAAACAGCTTTTATTTAGAGAAGTGGAGAGGAGAGAGAGAGAGAGAGAGAGGAGGACACAATCTGCTGGTTAGGGGTGACAAAAGCAATTGAAATTGCTATTACTTGAAAGCATGTCACCCCCCGAACAATGACATGTTGGTCATTACTGGACACAGGTTTATAGCCAAGTACTACATTATTTCCAAAGGTTTGAATTATGAATTGTTCACTTTCCTCATTATTTTTCACCGTTGCAAGACAGCTTTCTTTGTATTTAATTGTGTAGGTATTGTTTTCATTTCGAATAGCAATTATTTTGATTTTCTTATGCAAATTGGCATCTTTTAAAGCTACAATGCTTGTATGTAACATTCATTTATCTTCATATTGTATAACATTGTTTATGTAGGGATCTACATGGTGTCTGTTTGGAGCCAGAAGGGCGTTTGTTCATATCATTTTACTGAAAACAGACAACATTGTATTCTGTGAGAACAGTTACTGTAGCCTATCCGTCAAACTAATATAAATTGTTGTCATTTTGATTGTAGTAATGTTCAAGGGAAACAAGCAAATTATCTTTCCATATAAGGGATTACTAAAAACATGTTTAAACTAAGGAAGCGTGATGGCTTGGTGGTAGAGCAGTGGTCTCGTAAGTGGGTTTTAAACGTACTTAGTGTCCTGGGAGATGTTTCATGAAGCTGTTCGTAAAGTTATGCATGACTTTACGAACGACTTGTATATGAAAAGCCAAATGGGATGCTCAATCATTATTGATTATTATTTATTAAGTTGAACTGTGCAGATACAGATTAACATTCTTATTATAACAACCATTTTTAATGCAAATGATATTTTTTTGCCATAATTTAATTGAGGTTATTAGAAATATCAGAAAAAACTTTGGGCATCCTATCTGGCACTTCATATACAAGTCGTTCGTAAAGTCATGCGTAACTTTACAAACTCTTTATGAAACACCCCCCTGGTGCCCTTTGCCTTTTCGTAAGGCATTTATCTGCATTACCAAGTCCCTTAGAGAGGACTTAAGCTGTCGGTCCCATGGTTGATTATTTACAAGCATATACATAATTTCCTAGCAGTTGGGTGAAACAGTCATCATTAAACATACATTACAAACATTTTTGTATCTTATCTTTTTAGTCTGCACCAGCAAAAGTGATTCATAATTCACTCTCTCCTCTCTTCTGGGACCTGTTTCACAAAACCTTTTTTCAATGAAATATGACAAATACGATTGACAAATCTGCTGATAACCAATCAGAAGCAAGGATATCAGTAGCTTATAACAACAACTGTCATTTGTCACTGATGACAAGTTTTGTGAAACACCCCCCAATTTTGAAAATTGTTTCTTTCAGGTGTCCAAAGTGTGACAAAGATCTATAACTATTACAAGAAGTTTGGCTACAAGACAGTGGTCATGGGGGCCTCCTTCAGGAATGTTGGAGAGATTAAGGAGCTCGGAGGTATTGACCTTCTCACCATCAGGTAAGAGGGCGCCCTTTCTGTTTGGTACAGTTAAAAATATAAAAAGAGACCTTTGTTAGGTAAAGTAAGGTAAGGTATTTATTCATCAACATATCGCAGCCAATGGCTGAATTGCATGCATGATTTACAGAGATTTGATTTAAAAAATATATTTACAATTTGTTATTTAACAATAATTGAACAAAAAAAATCAGTAAAACTCAAAAAGGGAAGAAAGAAGTAAAGGATAAATATGGAGTGGGAAGATAAGGAGAAAAGGAAAGGAATGCTGAGGGAGAGGGGATGGAGAGAGAAGTGAGAGAGTGCATGAACGTTGCAAAATTAGCCAGTCATCAATTTATGCAAAATTTTGCTTGTGGCGAAATAAGTGACTCACAAATTCAGATGATCTTTGCAGTTGTAAAAGGGAAATCCCACCTTGATAACGAGCTACTCTCGAGAAAAGCAAAACAGTACACACACGTGTGAAATAAGCATCCTTAAATTTAAGTGTTTATTACTCGATAAACAACTTTGCTTTATAGTATGTCATGTTATCAAGATAATGGAGATGTCCTTTTAATGCTGAGAAACTTAATATTTTATACGCAAAGAATATCTTGCTTTATACCTCTCGCTTAGAATTTTGTGCAGAACCTTGTAGATGAATAGGCAAGAATACAATAAATCTCTCAGAATAATGAAAGCTATTCCTTTGGATGAGTATTCCTTTAATCAGTTATATATGTAAATTACTAAATTATCTTTCCCTTTTCTTTGCATCATAGCCCTAAGCTGCTTGAAGAGCTAGCGAATTCTACTGAAGAAGTGCAAATGAAACTGGATGCCAAAGTTGGTAAGTTCTGGTTATTCCAATCATAAATAAAGCTCGTGTATAAAACTAGAAAATGCATTAGAGATGCATTAGAAGAAACATTAAGGCAATATTTTCTTTTGGGACATTTTAAATGTTTATCTCACCCAACAAAGGTTGAGGCGTTACTCTACATAGTGATAGTGGTTATTTTACCTGACAGCTAAGAAAGCAATAAATGCTTGTTAGTAAGCAACCAGAAGACCGAGGGCTTTAGGTCCTCTGTGAGGGACCTGGTAAAGAGGATTGATGCCTTACCAAAGGGCACTAGCGCTTCGCCTTGGTTTCGAACCCGGGTCACTGGATTACGAGACTACTGCTCTACCGTCAAATGATAAAGTTTTCCTGCAAGATTCTCTTTTGACAAGTAACTTTGCGACCACCAATCCCATTGTGACCAAACTTGGGTCACAGATGCACTTAGTGGACTTTCACACTATGGTGTCGTCAAGGGTCACATGCTAAGGTCAAAGGTCGTTTGAGGTCATAAATTAAAGTTGACCTGCAAGATTCTCTTGTGGCAAATAACTTGCAATTGTTGATTACATTGCATTGGACAATCCAGCAAATGCCTTGTTAATAAATAATAACTAAGTCATTCCAGGAAGTTATGTACATTTCAATCTTCAAATTTCATTGCAATTCTTGCCTATTTAGACGAATGTTATTTTAGAGTTTGATTGGATTGTGAGGCATGAATTACTCATGTTTAAAAGTCTTCAGCGAAACAAACCCTCTCCCAGTATTTGATGTTTCTTCTCTCTTTCTCTTTGGCAGCTCAAAAGCTCGACATGGAGAAGCTCGAGCTGAACGAGGGGTCGTTCCGTTGGATGCACAACCAGAATCAGATGGCCGTCGAGAAGCTCTCCGATGGCATCAGGAAGTTTGCCGTCGATGCTGTCAAGCTGGAAAACATCCTCAGAGAGAAACTCTCGGCTTAAACCTTGTTACCATAGCAACGGGATAGCATCAGCTTCAGATCGACAATGGGTAGTTTTGCATTTTGCATAAGTAATATGTGATTGGGAGGAAAGGGTGTATGGGAGAGGAGGTGGGGGAGGGGGGGGGGGGAGGGGGGTTTACACACACCCTTTAAGCTTTTGTACCTTATTATCTATGTACCAAATTGTCAGTGGTCATCACATTGAAAGACATGATTTGCGAAGTAACATGCAGTTTAGAGTACAAAGACACACACTATAAATCATGAATATTTGTTGGTCATAGAAGCTTGTTTGATTACATGAAGAGGGTCTGTGCTCTCTTGTATCACGTTTCAAGATGTAGAAATCACTGATTGTGTAGGGCATCCTTGATGGGTATAAACTCTCTGTTTTCATGGTGCCAAGAAAGTAAATGTTTTTGTTTTTTCATCATGCTGAACGTTATTCTCTTATGACACATAAAAACATCAAAGAGTTTTATTCATGGAATTACAAACCTGTACCTATGTTCATACTTTATTAATGTTATGTGAACTTTAGTCTGCTTCTTCTTAAGTTATGCACCTATTCTATTTCAGAATATTTGTTACTAGAGTTATACTTCCAATTCCAAAGTCCAGTCGTGACAGATCGGGATATTAATAAGACTAACAGTAACTAAATCTATTTTCGTTATTAATGTCAGTTTTGCGAAGTAACAAAGAACGTTGATGAACTTTATTTTAGACTGGCACTGAGGAAGGAAAAAGACAATTTCAGTTGCCAAATTATGTCCTCTGAACCATCTAATCAACTCAAATCAACATTAAGCCTTTTGTAAAGTGGATGTTGAACATCATCATTGAAACTATTCTATTGTTACTGGTGAGAAAGAAAAAAAAAGCTGGCTAAGCATAGATTGTTGAATATATATTTGGTATTAGAGGTGTATATTTTATTTTTGATGTAGAATCTAATTCATTCACTCCATGCTATCTGTCAAACAGACTTAAGATATCTAAATCCTGTCAGTCATACTATTCAAAGCTCCTGACAGGAAAGAGCATGTTATAAGAGGTGATGCTCATTGGACATACCAAGAAACTAACATATATTTTCATTGCCATCATTGTGATCATAATCATAATAATATCCATCATTACATTTTGAAATACAAAAGTAATTTAGTTAAAAACATGGATATCTTTTTTTAAAGCTAGTTCATATTGCTTGAAGTCATTGTACTTTTTTGACAATTTTTCATTCATTTGAATAAGCATGCATGAACTGAAGTGCAAATGTTCTTAATAATCATGCACACCAGATTAAATTCATTTGTATTCTCTTATGTACAAATAAGGGATTAAAATCAGTGCCACAAAAAAACAACGATATATTTTCCTAGTCCAATTTGAACCAAAACCTTCAGTTTCTGTCAAAATCGATAGTTATTCCACTGAGACTGTCTGGGTGCACTGACTGCCTCTAGGGTTGAAAAATATCAGTTTTTGTGAAAGAATTTCCATACCAGAGGCTTATTTCTATCTAATTCTGATTGTTTTTATACAGATGGCATGCAAATACAATGATACATAAATGAGTAATGTTTGTATTTTGTTTCTAATCATTCCGGTTAGGTCTTGTTAATGGCAGAGAATAAGAGTATAAATGTACTGTGCATATTATTATGGAAGTTTGGAAAATAGTAAGAACGTGAATAAGAGTATTCAAGGTTCTTCTAATATGTAGTATGCAATGACTTCAAATAAATTGTTATGTACTAACTCGTATGTTGATGCTCAATGTGGTCTATTTGATTTTGAATGTAAAACAAATGTTGTAACTATGACTAACCAGTTGGTATCGTATGACTTAAAAATTTTGGCCCCAAAAATGGAAAAGGGTCAGAGAGGTGGCGATAGATGGACAATAGCTTTACAAAACTTTAATCAACTCAGAAAAATGAAAAACAGCAAATACTTTGAAAACCGTGAATAATGCAGTGTATACAAAAGGCATGGGGAAGACGAGGTCGACCTGTGGATACATTTCTTTCAAATGTTTGCCATTTGAAAGATATTCTATATGACCAATCATCCAAGGATTTTGAAAGTAATTCAGCCATAGCATTATTTTTCAAAAAAAATATTTGTAACAGCATGTCGACTGTCCCCATGCCTTTTGAACACACTGCTCTGCACTGAATGATGAGGGCATAGTATTCACTGTGCCTTGTTAGCCGTTTTCAAAGTATTTGCCCTTTTTCCTTTTTACTGAAGTTGTGTTTGACAGCTGGCTATTTTGGATAGCTTTATTTTATGTCGAGTGTGTTGTTGGTCAGGGAGGTGATAGAGAAGGAGTGGAAATTCTTGTAATTTATTCAAGCGCAATACGCATGCATGAGCTCTAAAGCGTAACAATGGGATGCGTAACCTTGTGTGCCAGAGTTGGTAAAAGAAAAATCAGATCCTGATAAAAACTCAATATTTTAGAATAATCTGATTATTTTTGCAAGTTTTAATGTCCCATCATTTAATCCATGATTAAAATCTTCAATGACTTTAAGGTTGCTAATGCATGCTTTTTGTACTTTTGCAGTTGGAAAAACGTATGAAATTACAAAAGTTTGTGTTCGCTTGTTCATCTCATTACACATTCAACAATTGATGAGAAATTATTGAAAGGGACAGCAAACATTTCCTAATGTAGGAATTCTAAATCTTGATATTTCTTTTATCCAACCACCTGATCAACAGTTGCAGAATAGCAGCTTGGAGCATGGGGTCAAAGGAGAGCGGCTTGATTCCACTCCTTCTCTATCACCTCCCTGGTCAGGTGCTGTGCTCGTATGTGGACATAAGACTAGTATGCAGGCTCAAAACCTTTGCTATGTGTAATCAGGGAGTTGAAACTCACTGGTGTAATAGTGACTAAACTGTAAGACTACGCCAACAGCATTCGGCATAGGCTCTATACTTAAGCTGACCCACAGCCGGCCTGGAAGAGACCGACAGAGCTAGTCTCTGCTCAAGGCTTTAGAAATTGTATTAAAAGAGTCAAATTAGAGTCTGTGCCTGCAGACAAGTATTCATTTCATTTTCATTTTATTAAACCATTTAAAATCAAAACGGTATACAAATTATGCGTGTATGAACATTATTGATACAGTGTAAATGGTCAGGGTGCCCCTAAAAGCCAAGGCTTGATGAATGGGGCCCCCAATACATAAATAAATAAACATAGCATAAACATGAGATACAAACAAACTTAGTTATAAAAAAAACATTAATCACTAAACATACAGGTAAAGGGGAAAAGGCGAAATAAGAAAACGTAGGGAGGAGAGATGACACTTACATCAATCACACTCTTCAGATGGAAAGGCCTGGATCAATATAATAAGAGAGATGGAAACAAATTGGAAGAGACACTATTCAAATCATGGCAAAATCTATTTCATTGATAAATCATTTTGGTAAATGTCACACACACAATGCTAGAATGAGCGTATCAATTTGACCTTACTGATCAAATCATTATTATTTTGGTAAATGTCACACACACAATGCTAGAATGAGTGTATCAATTTGACCTTACTGATCAAATCATTTTTATTTTGGTACCGTAAATGTCACACACATAATGCTAGAATGAGCATATATCAATTGACCTTGCTTTGATGCCAATATAACTGGATTATTGTCATAAATCCCTACCACTTACAAGAAAAATGGGAATAAAAAAGTTATTCTTACAATACTATTGACAGATTGTCACTTATACCATGGTATATGTCACACACATCTTGTAGGAATGAACATATTAATTTTACCTTTTTTAGGCAAATATCATCAGATTATTGCCATAAATCTACAACTTACAAGAAAATGGGATTACAAAAATGTTTTCTAATAATACTATTGACAGACTGATCATCACGGAATACACCACACACATCATTGTAGGAACGAGTATATTTGTTCCCCTTTTTATGCAAATATCATCATATTATTGCCATAAATCTATAACTGACAAGAAAATGGGATTACAAAAATGTAGTCTTATAATGCCATTGATTGACAGATCATCACGGAATACATCAAACACATCATTGTAGGAACAAGTATATTTTCCCCCCTTTTTTACGCAAATATCAGATTATTGCCATAAATCTACAACTTACAAGAAAAGGGGAATACAACATTTATTCTTCTAATACTATTGATTGATCATTACTTGTATCACACACATCATCGTAGGAACAAGTATACTTTTTCCCTTTTTTATGCAAATATCTGATTATTGCCATAAATCTACAACTTGCAAGAAAAAGGGAATACAAAATTCATTCTCATAGTACTATTGACGGAGCATCACTTGTATCACCCGCATCATTAATATCTACCCTGCTTTGATGCAAACATCACTTGATTATTGCCACAAATCTAAAATAACCTTTTACCACACCAAAGAGGCTAAAGCTGAACTAACTCAACACCCTTCTGATTATAAGCATACATGATTCATCACAATTGCATATTACATGTATACATAATTAAACCTCGGTTAAAAAAAAAAAATTATACAATAAATATTATTCTCTTTGGTAATGTCATTACAAGGCAAGTATACAATGTCATGTAAAGCTTCTCAATATAATCATCACATACAACACAAATCACATCTACCAATTAGAATTATTACATTTTAGTGATATCATTGCATATTCTTTTGATTTGGAATTACTGATGATCATGATGACGATGGCCGTTTCCTCGTACTCAAGGGCTAATCCAGATTGATTCATAGATGGCATGATGTCTAAATATTGAATACTTTAAAGGTAAAGACCAGTTTTGGAAACGCCTAACTCTCAAAAAATGAAATGGAAGCTCGTATTACCAATCATGTGAAAGAATATGTTTCAACTAATACGTGATCATATAAATTTTGCAGAGAAACTGCCTACTAATTGATATATTTGGTAAATTATTATATCTATTTGGACCTGATAGATATAACGCACGTGTCGCGCACATGTGCGTAGTCCCATATACATCTTTCTGTGTACAGTGCTTGTAAATTTACCTAGACTGGGCCAAATTTCTGATCATTTTGATGATTCCAGAACCTTGCAGTACACACCAATACTTCTATGCTAGATGATCAACCTTTTCTGATTGACTCCACAACATTTTTTTCACAATGCAATCGCATGACCATAACTGGTCGTTATCTTTAATTATGATGAATTCTGGCGGGAGGAGTAAAATAAATAAAAATCATGGAGAGATATTTTCATCAATTTGGGGTAAATAAATCTTAAATTGAATGAGTAATTCAATATGTGAGGCTATGGCATCACACAATTACAAAATCAAAGGAAATAAGATTGAGTTGACAGTGAATTAAAAAAAGAAGAAGGAAGATTTGTAAGATTCTTATTGATGGGTGTGCTAACTAAAACCATAAAAAAGTGACTTCTAAATAAATTAAATTGGCTTAAAAGACTTGTACTTAGTACATTTTACCCTGGAACAGAAAATTAACACATTCTGTTAGATTTTAACACAAAAGTCCATTTCAAATATTTCTCGGATTATAAAAAAAGCTAAATATATACAAGTATGATTAAAATCCAACATCGAGGATTAAACTTTGAGGTAGGTAAAAACTGCAAAATCTAGTATACAAATACATAGTTGAATACTTGTATAAAATTGGATGGCTTTGAGTGTGATACAAGAATATATTGCACGGGCTATGACAATATTGAACGAGTCAGAGACAAGTCCAATATTGTCATAGCGAGAGCAATATATTCTTGTATCACACAAAAACAAAGCCATATAATATTATTATCTATATCAGACTGACTAGCGAAATAAATATTTGACTTGCCTTGGTAATTATGGCTTGTTCTAGCTTGTGATATCGATAATGATTAGTTGAAGTTCCGGGATGACTGAGCAATACGAAAACAATATTGGTCAATCATTCGGGTTCTGCGCTAAAAATATTGAATACACTGAATTATTGTACCACTTGGAAGTCTTATATAGATAATAATACAGGATATCTATCAAGATTATTCAGTTTCCTGCTTTTTGAAAGAATTATCAGTGTACTTTAAGTCATCAACACTTTGTTGTGATATTTTTGCCAATATACACAGCTGGAATACAGAAAAGAGAATTATGAAAGAAAATCTGGCAGCTCAATGATTTATAAGAATGCCAACAATTTTGCTGTGACAACACATACCACACAAAAAGGATACCAAACGATTTGGGATAAAACACTCTTTCATAATGTGTATACTAATTTACTGTTCATAGATGATTTTTAAAAAAATTAGCAATTTTCTAGGTGTAAACTTTTTTTTGACTCACATGGTATACATCATCTATTCATACTACATTAGTTTGTTCAACCATTCTCTCCATTTGCCACCATCTCCTTTGTTTTTGTTAAGGGGGGGGGGGGGGGGGCTCTTTAAATCAGTTATTACATTCTTTGCGTTGTGATTGCTATTATATCAACTGAACAATCCCTCACATGCAAATGGATGGGAGTTCAAGATTGCATCATCATCACCCAAATTATTGACAACTTAAAAATGGCAAAAACATCTCCTGCTCCTGCAACAATTGCTCCGCAGTAATTTTCTACCGAGAACAATTCCAGACTTCAATCCACGACCCTACAGTAATAAACCAGCTAACCCTAAACACAAACCTACTCCCAACCCTTCAAATTACTTTCAACCTATTAAGTCCTGGAGCAATTGTCACTGAAGGAAATTTTGATTAACCCTAAAAGTCATACTCTTTTAATAAAGTGAGATGGTTGTCAGTTTCTATGTACAGGAATTAATAATTCGCTGACGCCGGACTTGGTGGAAATACCATTTATGGGTGTACAAGTCTTGCACACAGCAAACCCATAGTCCCAACAAGACATACCCCCTAGTCTCTCAGAGAGCCTTTGGGTGAGGGAAATATTAAACGAAAAATGCAGAGCATAAAGGCTGGTTGGTCATAAGACTGAAGGATTATCCTGGTGATTGACAACACCTGCCGTCGGGCAAATAATTCCTGAGATTTCATGGACGTTATTTTTCTCCTCTATTGCACTTGTCTTTCTCTCCTTGTAAGTCAGGATGTTGCTGGAAGGTTCCCTGTGTCCTTAGCTCCACTTCTTGCAATCATTAAATCTTCCATGTTCTTGATAGCCTGTTATAACAAAACAATGAAAAGGACCAATGTACAGTGAAACCTGTACATAAAGACCACTCAAGGGAAACATGAAAAGTTATCTTTGTAGCCAGGTGGTCTTTATATACAGGTTTCAATTAGAAACCGTATACAAGGGAAACCAAAAATGTAGTCTTTATAGACAGGTGGTCTTTCTATATAGGTGGTCGCTAAAGCAGGTTTGACTGTAACATGCTGTTTCCATTTAAAGGGCATTTAAACTGAAGCCGTTTGCCATGGGAGTTTTAGAGCATACTGTGCTTCATATAAATAACACGGAAATAAGCGAGTATGTGTAGACCCCTTTATTGGGTGCAGCTACTTATTCCATCCCCACTTGCCATTACTTCAGTCCACAAAAAAAAAAAAATATTTGAATGAGGCTTAGGGGGGATAAATCAGTACGCAAAGTGACTTGTTTCTTTTTATAGTCATCCTTCAAAATATTAGACAATCAAAATGGATGGATAAATAAGTTGGTGAATGGATTGATAGATGGATGGATTGAATGAATGATAGACAATCACTGACAGATAGGATGGATGGATAGATAAGTAGATATATATTAGTAGATGGATAAAATGGTTGATGATTGGCTTGACAGATGGAACGATTGATGGATAGGTACATGAAGAGACATGGAAATGTAGATGGATGGATAAAAAAGTTGATAGATAGAGGGATGGCCAAACTGATAGATGGATGGATGAATGGATATTAGAAGATGGAGGAAGGGGTTGCTGGTTGGATTGACAGACAGATGGTTGGATAGGTAGGTACATGTACAGTTAATGGACTGATCAAGGTATGGATGGACAGATGACAAATGAACTTCACACAAAGGAGAAGGATATCTAGATCCATCTATCTTTTCACCCATCCATCCATCTATCAACCAATCAATCCATTTATTTAAGGAGTCAGTCTTTACCCTCATTCCGTTCCTCTTGGCCGCACCATGTAGAAAGAGTTCAGCAACATGCCCCAAGGCTCCAAACACCTTCACATCCATTCCTCCTCTTTGAGACATCACTGTCCTGTTTTAGGCAACGGAAAGAAACTTGGGTCACAGCGATCAATGACAAAGTGATCAAATGACTTGAAATTGATGTTGGATTGGATACTGAAGTTGATGTTGAAGTTTACATATCATCTGTTCGGAGTCCAAAGGGTGTTAAATATGTGAGTACGCTCTTCTGGCTCCAAATTATATTTGCAAGACATTAATCTACATTTGCCACACTCAACCCAGGTGATCATGTAAATGGGTACCTGGTATGAATTAATTCCTTGAAATGCTAGAGCGCCGTAATGGCAGCCCTGCAGCCATGCTAAAGCCGGGGTAATAATTGGGAGTGCCTGGAGTATCAAGTCTGACAGATACGAGCAATATACAAGAACCCAATATTATTATTAACATTATTACCGGTATATACATGTAGAAGTTGCTGTGGAAAGTTTAACATACGGCACACCTCACTTTAAAAATCCAGCCATCTGATTGGTCAAAATTGGAGTCGTGATTTTAGCTATTCCAGTAAAAAAAAGTAAAATGCCAAAACCGGTCAATAGTCTTTTGAAAACTTTTCAAAAGACTATTGACCGATTTTGACATTTTACGTAAATGCGTGCAATCTCAATGGGAAGGATATTAGCTCACAAACTTGAGTGGTGCGCGATCAGACACCCTGTTAAGACTAGGTCTCGATAGCATAAACAAACTTGATTACCATGATTGGTAAGTGACACATGTATTGTATAACCCTTTTCGGTATATAAAAGTTATATTGACTGCTTTAATAATAATATTTGATGCAAATTTGTTATTATAGGCTCTCAGGGAGGTTACATCGTGCTATTACATCGAGCGATAGCAGGATGTAACCTCCCCTTGAATACATCTTACCAATGGCGCGAGTCCTTCATTCCATGCCCTAGCTGTCCCCATATTCTACTAGTCTAGTGCTTGGTTGAACACATCTTACCAATAGCGCGAGTCCTTCATTCCACCCCCATCCCCATATTCTACTAGTGCTTGCTTGAATACATCTTACCAATGACGCGAGTCCTTCATTCCACCCCCATCCCCATATTCTGCTAGTGCTCGCTTGAATACTTCTTACCAATGACGCAAGTCCTTCATTCCACCCACCGTCCCCATATTCTGCTAGTGCTTGCTTGAATACATCTTACCAATGGCGCGAGTCCGTCATTCCACCCCCATCCCCATATTCTGCTAGTGCTTGCTTGAATACATCTTACCAATGACGCGAGTCCTTCATTCCACCCCAATCCCCATATTCTACTAGTGCTTGCTTGAATACATCTTAATAGTGGCGGGATCGAGTCCTTCATTCCACCCCCGTCCCCATATTCTACTAGTGCTTGCTTGAATACATCTTACCAATGACGCGAGTCCTTCATTCCACCCATATTCTACTAGTGCTTGCTTGAATACATCTTACCAATGGCGCGAGTCCTTCATTCCACCCCGTCCCCATATTCTACTAGTGCTTGCTTGAATACATCTTACCAATGGCGCGAGTCCTTCATTCCACCCCGTCCCCATATTCTACTAGTGCTTGGTTGAATACATCTTACCAATGGCGCGAGTCCTTGCTCCTTTGTAGTTGTGCTTGCTTGAATACATCTTACCAATGGCGCGAGTCCTTCATTCCACCCCGTCCCCAGATTCTAATAGTGCTTGGTTGAATACATCTTACCAATGGCGCGAGTCCTTGCTCCTTTGTAGTTGTGATTCCTCCCAAGCCTGTGCGTATTCATACCATGTGACGTTCCTGCTCTTTATCTTCAGCGTCTCCTGCTTGTGGTCATACCAGCATTCTTCTTCCAACAGGATGGCAGCTTTATTGAAGACCGGTATCTGGGGCACACAAATATAAGAACCATAATGAAATGTTCTGCTGAGAGACAGGGAAGCGTGAACTCACTTTCTTCAACACATAACTGGAAGTCAACCCTGATATTAAGTCAGTTTTAAAGCCCCACTGCACTACTTATATCTACTTGACCCTCTATATAACAAACAATGCATGATCCTCTTTTTCTTATGTTAATTGAGAGCTGATTTGATGAGATAACCACCTGTCTAGTGACCTTGCAGGGTAGTTAATCCCTCCTGTTCACTAGTATTGATGGGCTTTAATAGAAGTAAATGAGAGCTAGATTTCAAGTTTGAGAAAGAAAATAACCATTACAAATATTATGGTTATAACATTTTTGAGGTGCAAGCAATCAAACACAAAATGGAAACTCTGTGACGTATTTTCGTGGTCCACTCCGAATAGCCCTGTAATAAAAATTTTTAAAAATCTCAATTATCATACATTCACCCTATATAAAGATATTTTCATACAACCACTGTATGAAACATCATGCAATGATTAAGAAAATGAGAGCTTATCACATTTTTTCTGTACAGAGAATATTGAAGAGAAATTAGCAAGACAAGTGTTGCCAATTTGTGTTACACTGATGATATCTTCAAAATTCATAACTTAATTTCCTATTTTTAATTAGATAAATCTCAAAATTTCACTAATTCGTTCTCTCTCATATATATTTTTTCTGCTTTGATTAAAAACCCAAGATAATATCAAAGTAAATTTCCCCTTTTATGCCCCTCTGGTTTTCAAATTTTCTTAAGAACTCATAACCATGCAGCCACTTGAATAAAATGGAATTTGGTTTGGGCTACATACTCTTATTTCAATTGATTACAACAATGCAAGCATTGTCCAGCTTCATCGTAAAAGACTAGTATCTTGGAAACATATGTTGATGGTGAATTTCAAAATAGGTTTTGATAACTTTACAAATTCTTTTTAGGAATATTGATTTACGCCTGCAACTTTCACCATTCCATTCCATTCTGTGAAAACTCTTTGCCTGCCTTTATGACAATAATATGGCTCAAATTCCCATGATGCGTTGGCATAAAGGGGATCTTTGATCCTCACAACACAACCAAATTCATGTCGACTTCTAAGTGTGCATCAAGTGCACGCAGCAATAAATGGTGCTATGCTACACACATTGCCTGAGGAAGTGCTATTACATAACATGCATGTAGTCATATGTCATGCATCAATGGTGCAATAAACAAATGACTTGAGTGATAAAGCAATTTCAAGTGCACTGTCACAACAGATAACTTTACAATTCTTTTTTTTAAATATTGATTTGCGCCTGCAACGTTCATCATCTTGATCGATCCTCGCCTAGTATAAAATCTCCAAAAATTCTACATCGTCTGCAAGCTTGTCAAAATCAAAATTTAATGAGACAAAATGACAGTCAGAGAAAGACCTTTACAGTTTTACTTTACACAATCTGGAATCTGGGCCCGGTTTCATGAAACTTGTTATCAATAACAATTACTTTCCGTGACAAATTTGCTCTCAGCCAAGCAAATGACAACATTTCAGTACCTAATTGTGATAACAGTTGTTGTAACTTGTGATTGATAACAAGTTTTATGAAACAGGGCACTGGTCTAACCATTTTGAGGATTGATGGCATGATGTTTCTGCAAACCATGACTCTTTTCCAATACTCCACATCATCTTTAGGATCTGAAATCAAATATGACACAAGAACAAAATATTACAGAGAAAATCTTATCTTTCATTTAAAGGAAACCGAACCCCAAGAAATAACTTTACTTATTCTGAGAGATTTATTATATTATTGCCCATTAAAGGTAATACAAAGTTTTGGGAAATTTTGAAAATAGGCAGGATAGTAATTCTTTACAATTTTGATATATTTGGATGCCCTTGTGGATGTAATATAACCACTAAAAAATTTGATCACTGAATATTGTAGGATCGCATATGCTTCCAATATGTTCATTTGAACCAAATTCATGACCCCATACCAAAACTTTGTATTACCTTTAATCTACAAGATTGCCCACCAAAGTGTATGAGTGAGGCATAAAGCAAGAATAATGTACAGCTTCTCAGCACGACACGGGCATCGCCATTATTTTGATAACTTGAGGTACTATACTTACAGACTTGTGTGGTGATGAAGCATTTCATTCACCTGCTATTATCCTTTGTACTACAATTGCCAGAACGCAAATTGCATAAATAAGTTGGTACTCTTCTGCGGTGAAGGTTTCTCATAAATGAAATAGATTTGTCAACTGCTATAATGTAGTATTTATACATGAATTTGGTTACAATTGTTCCCCTTTTATTTATTTTTCACCAAATATAATTTCTATCTTCTCAGTTATGATTTTTCCTCATCGAAAAGTAAAGGTTTCGTTATTGATTTAAAAATTCTTTCCAAGTAAAGCTTGGTGTATGATACATGTACAACTTCAACTGGTCCGTCACATTTTCAAGAAAATGGCTGCGCCCATGTCATGCTAAAAGGCATCACATCATGCCAGGAATATCTTCATTTATATCTGTTGTACATTTTCGTAAGGAATATTATACATCAAACTATCAAAGGGCCGGCCACATCTCATTTGTCATAATACCTACACATATTCTTTGGGGTTAGGTTTCCTTTATTAGTATGATTTAATCAAGGTCTTTGCATAAGGATGTATACATGTACATTCTTTCTGTCAAAGCACGTTTCAATGAAATGTCTTGTAATCTATTTCATGGAAACACTTGCTAATGGCCATGCTTGATTTATTTATTAGAGTCTAAGAGAGGCATGATGGCCTAAACAGGGTTAGTAGTTTTGGTACCGTGGCGACATACAATTGCCAACACATCCACTTGTATTTTGACATAAAATGAAAGTTCAGCTCGAGACCCATTTTAATTATCAAACGTAACAAACATTTCATGCTTACCATGACGATATTCCTCTAGTCTTACTTCTAGGACATCCAGCTTTTTGTTTGGATACTATGGTAAAGAAAAAACAAAGACTCTAAATTAAGTTAATTATTATTGTAGCAATGATTCAATATAAGTCTCATTTGTCTCAGGTCTTGGCACATGATTTGTACAATGTTACACTATACACTGTACACTGTACCATACAATCCACTGATAAGTAAGTTAAATAATATTGGTACAGTGCAAGTTAATTCTAGACCCCCAAACAAGATTGGGGATATGCATGTTCAGCAGTTCCGCTGATATATCCCTCCCACAAGAATTCCACATGTCCTTTTCTGTCTACTACCGGTAGTTATTTCTTGAATGAAATGATTGCCAAATATATTTACTTGAGTACTTTACACAGCCGAGGGTGAAATACGTTCTCTTGCCATTATTATAAAGAAATAGCCAAGTACTATAATTATGAATAGAGGAAATAGAGGAAAAATTCATACTCATGAAATGAAAGTACTCACAATTGTAATTGTTTGTATTTTACAAGTAATTCTGCGGTATAATCTCCAATCCATCATGACCATGATGAGTTCTGAAGTATTTCGCATCTATCTTCCCCTGTAGGCCAAGTACTATTTTTTAATTTATTAATTTAAAATAAAATAATTGCTCCCAGCCAGCCTCTGCCTCCCACTCCACTCTTGCCTGACTAATTGACATGCTAGCGTCCTACTCCTACTTAGACCGAAAACTTCAGTCTCTCTAATCGTCGGTTGTTCCACTGAGACTACGTCTGGCCTAGACCGAAAGCTTCAGTCTTTCTAATCGTCGGTTGTTCCACTGAGACTACGTCTGGCTCCACTAGACCTCCGATTATATGACAACAAATGTCAGTTTTATTAAAGAAATGACCCAAATCAGATGGTTATTGCTGTCTACGTCTGGCCTAGACCGAATTTTCCGTCTCTTTCGTTCGTTAGCCTCTTATAGGTGTAGGGTCGGCCGGCTCTCTCTTTAGAGACGGAAACCGTCTATACACATTCCCTTGATAACGCCACGGCCATTTCAGGTCGTAGCGTTTTGCCCCCAAAATCCCCCAAAATGTCATTTTACCTCGTGCATGTTATATTGTAAATTAGGCCTAGGCTATAATAAATCAGTTCAACTTACCAACTTGACTGAAATAATCAGTTTAATAGTCCCTTTTTAGGAATTTATGGGTCAAAATCGAAATCCATGTTGAAAAAGATTTTCAAAATGGATTTCGATTTTGACCCATAATTTCCTTAAAAGGGACTATTAAACTGATTATTTCAGTCAAGTTGTTAAGTGGAACCGATGTATTATAGCCTAGGCCTAATTTACATGTGGATATGCACGAGGTAAAATGACATTTTGGGGGAATTTGGGGGCAAAACGCTACGACCTGAAATGGCCGTGGCGTTATCAAGGGAATGTGTATAGACGGTTTCCGTCTCTAAAGAGAGAGCCGACCCTACCCCAATAAGAGGCTAACGAACGAAAGAGACGGAAAATTCGGTCTACGTCTGGCCTGGCTCCACTAGACCTCCGATTGGTCTACAACAAATGTCAGTTTTAACTTTTATTAAAGAAATGACCCAAATCAGATGATTATTTCTGTCTATTAAACTCCTAGGCCTAGAGGTCTACTGTACTTTGTCCAAAAAACAACAACAGAAATTAGACTCTTACCTTGGTCAGATGGGTGTTGATCACAAGATCTAGCGGAAATTTGTAGACATGATCAAGAACAACCTCGAAGACCATCTTGTTCAGATTCCAACACTAGCGCCGCGCCGATGCCCAGCGGGAGCTATGAGAGCGATCACCCCGAAACCTCGGGATCAGCTCAGGCCAGGGTGCTTGAGTGCGGTCCGTTCGTCGATGAGCGGAATCTCGAGTCAAGGCAAGCCAAAACTAGCTAAGCTTACGTCAGTTCTTCAGACATTGATGATCTTCCTTACTTTTGAAACAGGGCACCCCGACAACTTCGTTGTTAATTTTTGAAAATATACAAACATACACAGCAAAGAGAACTTTATAACATGGATTAATGACTATTTGCTCAAAATTATCAACGGCGCCACCTCTTCTCATACGCATTAGGTGATTTCATAACACACGTTTATTTACGAAACTATGGAACGCTGCCGGGCACGCCTCTTGAAGAAGAAAACAAATGTTTATATATATTTTTTTATTATCAAATAGTTTCGATCACCTTTACTCACTTTTGAAGACAAATATGAACAGAAGCCCATCAAATAAGATGCCCCAAAGGGTATAGATATATATGTGAATGGAAAACTGAGTGAAAGAAGTGAATAAAAACGTAACAAACTAGTAAACAAGACTGAAAATTTGACAGGTGATATACAAAACTACCCTAGCTGAAATGGTTCCCCAACCCACAGGTCAGAGAATATTGCGAAAGCATCTTAGATCTGCCACTAAGTAATGTGAGGTATACTAATAATGTCTATCGCATATACACATGAAGTCCTTTATCATTTTGTGTTCTCATGATAGAAAATTAAAAAAAATAAAGGAGGAGCAACATGTAGACATCCCTTTTTTAAACATCGGTTGTAATCTCTCATAAATAAGAAAACTTTTGCCAGACCTTCCTAACCCTAACTCCCCACAGCACGAAATTTAAAAAAAAAATCATAAAATGGAACACTACATTACATGCTATGAATTCATGACTTAATTTTTTTAAAGTCAATATGAGTTGAACTGAGTTAAGATACTTAAAATCTGCAAAAAGTAACTCAATATATGTAATCAATAATAACATCAATTGGCAAGAATAAGTATTTATCTAAACAAGGCCTTTAGTGATGCTACATGTACATTACAGATAGTATTACATGATATATAAACTTTAACATTTTAAAGCCCCACTGCACTAATTGTAGCTACTTGCGCCCTCTATATAGCAAACAATACCTAATCGGTGACCGTTGGTCCCCCATTGTCCCCTTTTTTGTATGTTATTTGAGCTTATTTGATGAGGTAAACATCTGTCAGTGATCATACAGGGAGGTCTTATCCCTCCTGGCCAAACTAGTGCAGATAGGCTTTAAGCCCCACTGTACTACTTCAATCTACTTGCTCTCTCTAAGTGGTGCCCATTGGTCCCCCATGATCCTCTTTTTCTTACGGTATGTTAATTGAGAGCTGATTTGATGAGATAATCACCTGTCAGTGATCATGCAGGGAGGTAATCCCTCCTGGACAAACTAGTGCAGATAGGCTTTAAAGGGTCTAGAAGCAGTTTGTCACGCATGTAAAAATTGCAATTTTTCAATATGATTTACTTCAATTCTATTCAAAACTTTATTCCAGACTCGGCTGCAAGAGCAGAGGTCCATATAACATATTTACATGTACATGTAGATATAAACAATGATCAAGAATAAGAGAAGAACATACTATCAAAAACTTACAAATTTACATGTACAAACAATATATAAACAATGAACAAGACTAAGAGGGGAACACATATGGATATACAGGAAACAAAACTAAATATACAGTAGGCTTGCGGATGCACCATGTGAGAGAGAGGGAGGATTGAGGAGTCCTGAAAAGGACTCAGCAATCTTTCCTGAGGGTGTGTAGTCTTGAAAAAGACAGTTTGTTATCTTTCTTAGCTTATAGTTCTAAGGAGAACTATAGCGCTGATTGGAGAGGATGGGTGGAGTACTGTACTGCCTACTGTATATCTACATCACCATGCAAGCCGATACTTACAAGTAGCAAAACTAAACTACTTTAATCAACCTCTGCCGACTGTGACAATTAGCTACAGAACCAGAACTCAGACAAGTCTGAGGTGAAGCTTGTACTACTATGAACACATATGGATATTATACGAGAAATAAAACTAAACTACTTTAATCAGCCTCTGCCGACTATGACAACAAGCTACAGAACCAGAACTTTGACAGGTCTGAGGTGAACCTTGTACTGCTATGCAACATTTTAACAATCATATTTTCTGAAATGTCACTCCTCTGAATAAACTTGAAAATTAGATTTCTTACAACAGCTTGACATGCAGGTATATTCACATCTGAAAACATTTTACTTCTACTAGAGTGCTTACATGTAGGTAAGAGTATCTTCATATCTGTAAAGCACTTTGAGAGGGCCTTCGGTCCTGAAAAGCGCTACATAAGAACTAGCTATTATTATTATTATTATCATTATACCCTACCGTGAGTTTCTTAATACTGCTCTTTTTATACCTATTATACCTATTCCAAAGATGTGCAGTATATAAAGGTGTACAATATGCTCGAAATAATTCAACCTTAACTTTACAAGAGCACATATGAAACTTTCTGCACAAAGTTTACGACACTGTCTATAAATATCTTTAACATTACAAAGGTCCTCAGTCAAAAAAATGACCTACAGGTATGTACTTTCCCTCTTTAAAAACATTAAGTTTAGCACCACACAAATAAATCTCTGGAAATACCAACTTACAATGCTCTTTACAATTCAGTCATAACGCGACTCTTTTTCGCATTATATGTAACATCATTGTCTATACCAAGCGAGAAATGAAATACATTGTACATGGACTTAATAAAGGGAAATCCAACCTTGATAGAAAACTATAATGAGAAGATCAAACAAGCTTTAGAGAAGATGTTCACTAACATCCAACAAGATCTCATGTTGATAACAAACTACCGGTACTAGACTAGAGGAAAGCAGAACAAAATCAGAGAAGTAGACTGGTAAAAGTTTGAATGAAATTTGACAAAAAATACAAAAGTTATACATCATAAAGTCAAGTAAAACATTATCTGTAATAATTCTTGCTAGCTCAAATACGGTAGTTGGCCAGAGAGGGCAGCATCGGTGGTGGATATACTATATTTGGCAGAGGCACTTCCGGTTTCGATGCAAATATCACTATGAATATGACTGACAAAGAAAGCCGACAAAATATACAGTTCCTCAGGTAGACAAAGGAACATCCCTTCACTGCTATTATGTAAAAATTTGTAGAACAGGTGTCACATGCATATTCACTTTTTACATAATAGCAGTGAAGGGATGTTCCTTTGTCTACCTGAGGAACTGTATATTTTGTCCGCTTTCTTTGTCCGTCATTTTCATAGTGTATATGGGTCAAGAACTGGCAAGTCTAATAGAAACGATAAGTTTTGGAACAAATAAAGTACAAGTAATAACTAATAGATTAATAATATAGTGCCTACATATATACTGTAAATCTCATAAAATCATCGGGAGAGTTCATGAAACCATAACGATATTCTAGTAAAATAATTAATTTGTTGACACTGCTCTGTTGTACATGTACATTCTCTACGGAAGCCGGAAGAAACCTTAATTGTCTAATCATCTTCCCAGTATCTGCACAGTGTGGGAGGTAATGTAGGTTGCCAAATCTATGTCAAACATTGTATTTGAGGTAGGGAGAATTCGTCGCCTGGGTGGCAGAAGGGCGTTAGCTCAATAATGAAACTTTAAGCAGAAGGGCGTTAGCACTAAATCGCCTCAAACTTTCATGAAAAACTGACTTATTTCCGAGAAAAAAATTGTGGCCATGTTCTACTACACAACATCTCTATTAGTCTTTTATGTTTTAAACCAATTTTCAGGACGGAAAGCAGTTTAAATATCAAACAAATCTTTAAATGCAAATAATTCGAAAAGTAGTTTTCGAGCGGCTCGCACGCTAACGCCCTTCTGCCAGCCGGCCGACAAATTATCAAACATATACTGTACATGTAGATCTTACATGTAAATCTAAAATACAACCTTGCTACACACATTACTGATTTAAACAAATAATTGTTCTAAAAGACTTCTAAACAGAATTCTTCAACTGATAACATGACATTAAACAAATATCATTAATGAATTCATAATCAACAATACCATGAGTTGTATCGATGTAACATTAAGTATTATTGCAACACAGTACCACAAATAAAAATGTTGTTCATTGTCATGATTCCTACATTTTATACATTGTGAAGTTTGTGCAGGTAAATTTGTATTTCAGCTTGTATACTGTATTCTACAGGAGATTAAAAATTAAGTATGTTAGACCGAGGTCTCAATGGTTCTTTTGTTAAAAACAACCTTCAGGGAGGTGGAGCATCTTTCAAAGTCAGTAGAGCATCCGCCTCACAACCGGGAGGCTTGGGTTCGAACCTTGTCCGCGTCATACCAAAAGACGTTTAAAAGACGGGAGTTGCTGCTACCTTGTTTGGCGTTCAACAATAAGGGATAGAGCAACGTCGATCTGGGGTTGCTCAGTGGCTGCCGATCAATTGGGCAAAAAGAATTTCGGTGGACTTTAAAACATTATTATTATTATTATTATTAACAAACTAGATGGACCCTACGACTGCGTGCAGTCGAAAATGATGCCTCCGCCATAGAGCCATTTTACAAACCAAAATAGAAGCAATTTTTAAAATTCAAGTTTGATTATAATCCATTAACAGGTTCTCAGAATATCGTGATTACAAGCTGTTTTTCATATACAGGTACATGTATGACCCTTTAATCTTTGATCTCATGACCCTAAAATCTAACCAGTTCATTTGCTCTGCGCATCCATGTACATGTCCTGAGTTTGATAGTTATCCATCCATCAGTTCTAATGAGAATGCGTTCACAAGCTATTTTTGTATACATAATGAGCCCCGTGACCTTTGACCTCATGACCCCAAAATCTACTCGGATCATTAGCTCTGCAAGATACATTCATGACCCAAGTTTGGCAGGAATCCATCAATCAGTTCTTGAGATAACGCGATCACGAAAAGGACGTACATGTACGTACGGACGGACAATCCGAAAAACAATGCCTCCGGCTACATGTACTTCGTAACGGAGGCATAAAAAGGTCACATTACTTGCAAGCCCTTTTATTCAAAATACAACAAGAATAAGCTGAATAGCTTGATCTAAACTATCACGCCACATGTGTGTGTATTGTTGAGTCCCAGTTGTGTGTGCAATGCATGTGATCAATCAATTTCGTATCATTTGATGATTCCAAACCCTTACATTATATATGTACGACGTAATCAATCTTTCTCAATGGACCAGTTTAACAACATACCGTATTCAAATCTTATGCATACTCTTTAGACAAAGGTTCTTCTTGACAACCCAAAAGCTTGCCCAATGCTTGCCTGACATAGCAACAAGTGATATGCAGAATGAATTCCAAATATTGTAGTTCATACATGAATAACGGGTTGATGAATTAACTCGTCATTACATGTAGGTCACTAGGAAAGAAACATCCATAAATTAGAATAGGTTGGTAGACTGGTCTATTAATGCTTCCTTTTACAATGAAATAACACAAGAGTGGACTTCATAGTAATAATCTACAGGTCTTAGCAATGCACTGTGCCCTGAACCTACTGTCATAAGGAATTCTCATCATAATAAAGCTTTCCTCACCCACCAGATATGGAGGACAAGCAGGAGTAATTTTCTGGTTGGAGTTTTGCTGTCTGAGAGACCTGTGGCTCTGCACACATTAGTTGGTAATTCAACCAAATCTGATGTCAGCAAATTATGATGCCACACACATGGACACTGACTACTATGTGGCTTCAACAAAAAACTTGATGCCATCAGATAACAAAGAAAGTTGCCGAAATCTTTTACCAAAATAAAATAATTTTGCTCCACACTTTCCAAAGACCCCTACCCCCCCCCCCAAAAAAAACCTTATCAATAAACATGTACAGTAACCTGTGCTCAATAGAACCATAGATTGAAACTTTCACAAAAATGATAGGTCTGTCCCCTATTATTTTGAATAATTTGGCACCATCAGAACAAGAACAGAGTAATGAGCATTATATGGTATGTATTTTGGGAATATGTACTTTGGAATGCCTCATGAGATGATTCTTCTGAGTGAACTTATTCCCACATTCATCACACGTATAAGGCTTCTCTCCTGTATGCGTTCGTACATGCCTAACGAGGTTGTGCTGTTCCTTGAAGTCTTTCCCGCACACTTCACACGAATAGGGTTTCTCTCCAGTATGTATTCGGGCGTGATTTATCATGACGTGCCGCTGGCTGAACTTCCGCTGGCAGTACTCGCACGTGTACGGCTTCTCCCCTGTATGGCTGCGCAGGTGCCGCACTAGGGTGGACTGCTGGCCGAATCCACGTCCGCAGATCTCGCACGAGTGCGGTTTCTCTCCCGTGTGAGTTCGGACGTGGGTGATCAGATTCTGCTTTACTCGGAATTTCAGGTCACAATGCTGGCACGGGAACGGTCGCTCGTTGGTGTGGATTTTCTTGTGAGCGGTTAATCCTTGTGACTGACGGAATGCTCGACCACATATCTTGCACTTAAACCGTTTACTTGTATCATTTTCAGTATCTGTCTCTGCATGCATCTCTCCTGTATGTCGGCGTACGTGCCGCATCATGGTGGACCGCTGGGCGAATCCACGTCCGCAGATCTCGCACGAGTGCGGTTTCTCTCCCGTGTGCGTCCGGACGTGGTTAATCAGATTCTGCTTGGATCGGAATTTCAGGTCACAATGATGGCACGCAAAGGGTCGCTCATCACTGTGGATTTTTTGGTGTGATAATAATCCTTGCGCTTGACGGAATGCTTGACCACACTCGCACGTGTAAGGCTTCTCTCCTGTATGGCGGCGTAGGTGCGTCATCATGGTGGACCGCTGGCTGAATCCACGTCCGCAGATCTCACAAGAGTACGGTTTCTCTCCCGTGTGAGTCCGGACGTGGCTTTTCAGATTCTGCGTGGATCGGAATTTCAGGTCACAATGCTGGCACGCAAAGGGTCGCTCATTGCTGTGGATTTTTTGGTGCGATAATAATCCTTGTGCTTGACTGAATGCTTGACCACACTCACATGTGTACGGCTTGTCCCCTGTATGGCGGCGTAGGTGCGTCACCAGGGTGGATTGCTGGGCGAATCCACGTCCGCAGATCTCGCACGAGTGCGGTTTCTCTCCCGTGTGAGTTCGGACGTGGGTTATCAGATTCCGCTTGGCTAGGAATTTCTTGTCACAATACTGGCACGCGAACGGTCGCTCGTTGGTGTGGATCTTCTCGTGAGCGGTCAATCCTTGGTACTGACGGAATGCTCGATCACATATCTTGCACTTAAACTGTTTACTTGTTTCATTTTCAGTATCTGTCTCTGCATGCTTCTCCTTTGTATGGCTGCGTACGTGTCGCACCATGGTGGACTGCTGGGCGAATCCACGTCCGCAGATCTCACACGAGTGCGGTTTCTCTCCCGTGTGAGTCCGGATGTGGGTGATCAGATTCCGCTTGGATCGGAATTTCTTGTCACAATGATGACACGCGAACGGTCGCTCGTTGGTGTGGATTTTCTTGTGAGCAAATAATCCTTGTGAATTACGGAACGCTCGACCACACTCCTTGCACTTAAACCGTTTGCTTGTATCATTTTCAGTATCTGCATGTTTGACTACAGAAATACCTTCCCTTTCTTGAGTTATACTGCCCATGTCTTCGTCATCTTCAAGGTCCTCTTCCTCTGATTCCCCTCCTGTCTGAGGCAAGCCCTGCATGAACTGATAGTACTCCGCTCCGCTATCTTCACAATTTGACATACCATCAAGACCTCCATCTGTTGAACACTCTTCTGAGGGTCCTGAGACATCATCTTTCACCTCCCTGCTTGGGTCTCCCAAGAACTCAGAGACATCATCCTCCGACAGTCGCACTGACTGACAATCTCTTTGTATCGTCTCGTAGTACTTCATCATAGGATGGGCTAAAGCCACACTCTTTAGGCGCTCTGATTCACAGGTGAGATGCCTCTCGGTGTGAAACTCATCCTTACGTGCTGTCACTGGTTCAACGTCTTTCATCTCATAGCGTTTCATCATGGGTGTTCTTCGCTTCTGGATTAGCCCTGTAATGCTTAGGAATCCCCGTTTTGATGGCTTCCCCTTGAGACCTTGCTCTTCATCTGTGAGAGGATGGAGAAAAAATGTGAGGAAAAGAAATTTTCATCAGTTTTACATTTCCATATTGGCACTACCGGTATGTTTTTCCTCTACTTCAATCTTTTTTAACAAGGAATGGTATATATGCCATTCCTTGTTAAAAAATTTATAGAAAGAGCCATATGTACAAATGAACCTGAACAAAACAAACCACTAAACAAAGAGAGTACTGGCTATAAATTTCATTTCTAATGCCAATTGCAAGATGCTACAATGTAATTCATTTAAAGGGGAAGTCAACCTTATTTGGTTTTAATAAAAGCAGAAAATGAAATGAGAGAAACACATTAGTGAATGTTTGAGCAATATCCGATTAAAAATGGGAATGTTTGACAAGAAGAATTGTAATTTTTTTTTTGGCTCAATCTTACACTGATCTAATATTTTTCTCTCATTTTTCTGCTTTTTTAAAATCATCTATCAAAACCCACCTACAGTAATATCAGGGTTGGCTTCCCCTTCATTTTCATTTATTTTCATGAACTGTATACTAAACTTCAACCACTCCTTTACAGGAACATTTACCACGAAATGTTTTTTTAATTCCCATCTTACAGCTGTATTTGTCAGTATACATGTAGACCATTTTCATAAATGTAATCAAATTTAAGGCACATATCTTTGTGTTGTTAGTTGTTACCTGTTAGGTAGAAAAAGCTGTCATGTTTGTCGTAGTTACATGTATGTAGCAACAATTAATTTATGGAATTGGCATTCTGACTATTGAAAAACAATTATTCATTACAGGTGAATTAAATTATTTGTAACAAGGCACAAGTTTAACAAAGTTTAGTGCATTCAATTTGATTGCATTCAATTTGATTACATTATGAAAGTGGCCTATTGGTTGGAGAATAAAATATCTATTTAAAAGTTTAAAACCAAATGATATACACATACTGTATATTTACCTCCTGCACTGCTGCTCTCGGTCTCTTCACTGAACTCTGCAATGTAGGATATATGTTTAGTGTCTTGATCACACGAGTCAACATCTTTCATGCTCTGGGCAGTTGTTAAATCGTAGGCTTTGTCTTGCAAACACAACTCAGATGGAACTCTGGAGTCGGCACTGTCGACGTAAGGCGCATTGGTTTCATCATTAATACCACCTGTACTTGATTCTGAGGTTAGAAGTGGTCCTGAGGAATCGTTCTCATCTCCAGTCCTGTGAGAATGGTATTCAGCCATATCTCTGGGGCTAGCCGATGACGACTGGTGCTTGTTCTCATTACAGAACATTGGCAAGGATAAGTGCTTTTCGTCCGTCAGTTTTTCCTCATTAAAACTCAAGGAAAGTGACGAGGTCTGTCGTCTGATTTGACTTTTAACCACTTCCTTCTTTCTTCTCTTAAAGCTGGATGAGATTCCGTACACAAAGCATGGCACAGTAGATTTGTTAGGCAGATCAGCACAATCATTATTTTGATAAGAATCGCTTAGAGAATGATTGTGAACCTTTATTTCTCCCTTCACTTCCTCACTGTCGCCCGTTTCCGATTGAGCCGACGATGACAATAAAGGGGTCTGCAACTCAGTCATGGCTACTGGGGGAGGGTCCTTAGTTACGTTATCTTTTTCAGTGTTAAGTCTATCTGCAAGATCAATATTATAATCGATCGTAGCAACATGTGCATAACAATTCCTTTGAACATCATTCTCTTTAAAATTGCTTGCCATTTTCGGATTCAACATGGCAACCTCTCTGGTCCATTGTGTTGTGTTTGTTTCTTTTCTTTTGTTCGAAAATGTTGTTAATGTTGTTAAACTTAATTCACTTTGTTTCGATTTGGATTGTTTGTTTTTCAATATGTTTGTTAATTTTGTATTTATGTTGTAGGGCCTCCACGGAAAACAGTATTGAACTACTGATGGAGCCACCCTACTAAAAAAAAGACTAATAAATAAATAAATAAATAAATAAATAAATAAAATAAACCTATACTGCTCGTATTCAAAGACTGGACATCGCCAATGCAGTCATTTTGGCATCTTCTCCTCTCTCACAAATGTTTTTTTCACATGTTTCTGCTACTCTTTGTCTTGTTCATTCTTTTCTTGAGTAATAACATGACTTGAAGAGTGAGGTATTGCCATGATTACCAGATCTCTGTAGCTGTCGTAAATACTGCATTCCAGAGGAGTAGTTCATGCTATAACGCCGGTCTTAGAAGCACTGCTCGCAGATTTACTGGCTGTGGCTGGTATCATAACGGGCTCCATTATTGTTGGACCAGCTGTCAGGTGTTGAATTCCAGAATCTGCAAGGAATCCAAAGAAAATGAAGATAACAACCACAACTTAATTTCTCCCTGCTTTTTTCAACTAAAACCCTTCAAAAAAAGTTTGTAAACTAAAGTTTGATTGATTATATCTCTCTTGTCATGGGATAATCATTACTTTGGATAATATAATTGAAAGTGTGTTTATCTAGTTTATTCATCTTTAAAATGGTACCATATTTGGTATTATTTTGCAGCCATGGAATAAGAAGTACATCAGAATAAGGGGCAGGGTCAAAAGTGAAAAAAAAGTTGTATACAGGTATAAACTGGTAAACATTGGTATTGTTATGCAGAGCAGTAGAGCACTCTCCTAAATGTTTAACATACAACTTTAAAAGAGCGTGATATTTGTAAATGACAGTGGGGCAACCTATTGCTCTCAACTAGCAACTGCTCACCCATGATTGCCAATTTCTGAAGAATCTCAAAAATAAATTCATGCACTCATACCCCATTCACAGTGGCCTCAAACACCGCGACAGCAGCGGGACTGTCCCGCTGCTGTCGCGGTGTTGTCTTCAGTGTGAAGGCTCGGACCCGTTATAAACTATCGCGGGATAACACCGCCTAGCGATAACGCCGACACAAACTATCGCTAGGGACGCCTAGCTACAGCAGCGGGACAGTCCCGCTGCTGTCGCGGTGTTTACTCAGTGTGAAGGCTCTCCGCTATAACACCGCGACAAACACGTGTGATTTGTTTACTTACCTATCACTGACCTCTTTTCTACAGCAATGGGGAACATAAAGTGAAATAGAAATAAAGTAACCAGTGGATTCAAATTGATTTTATTATTATGTAGGTATTATAATTATCCAAATAAAAATATTTCACACTTCAAAAAATTAAAATATTCTGACTGGAAGCAATAAAAATGCTAGTTTTTTAAAAAGTAATATGATCGAGGATACAAAAAGCAACTTGACATGTTTACCGCGCAATTTCAAGCAAGTATTTCCGGTCATATCGGGGTCACTCGCGGGTCATGAGCCATGCATACACGTGTTTGTTACGGAGGTAATAAAAATCACCCGCTGCAGCGTGAATGGGTACATGATATTTATCCCGCTGCTGCAGCGGGATAACTTTTCTACTGTGAATGCATTTGTAGCGGTGTTATGGCGGTGTCGCCGCTCCGCTACAACGCCGCTACAAATTTCAAAACCACTGTGAATGGGGTATCAGTATAATATGTCGACATGTTGGGCAAGATCGATATTGTTCGGACATCAATTTTCTGAAGCATCATGCCTACACGGCACTAATATCTTTTGGCAAGATATTAACCTGCACTTGCTACTCTTCATGCACCCCTGTGTTAAATGAGTACCCGGTAGGATGCGACCGTCATTGTTGGTCAAACAGCTTGTGAGTGTCAAGTAACGCCCGTCTGGAATGCTCCCCAGAGAGTGGAGATTGTGCACACAGTGTGTGCGGGCAAGCACTGAATCCAATGACCGGGGTAATAGTATATTTATAAAGCGTTTAGAGATATTTGTATTAAGCGCTATATAAAAATAAAATATTATTATTACATGTAGGTCAACATAAATTGAAAAAGCCCGGGCAATAATTGAGCAGGAGTTCTTTAAAAAGATGTAAAAGTAAAACTAAGTAAAGCACTTTTTTTTTGGTCCAACTATGATTTTTCATTTTTTGGCCATTTATTTATACGTGGGATGTGTGCGAAAAGTGTGTACTTTTAAACGCTAGTGCTTGTACGAGGTCTTATGGTCCATAACGTCAACGGTTAATAGACCTCACAAATTGCCATTGTTTGTAGTTTAGGAGTAAACAAATAATACACAAAAGTGAGGGCATTACTAAGAATTAGTACCCACACAATTAAGGTACCTTTGGATCAGTCTAACAGTAACATGCCCGAGTCGCTTCATGTGCACGCGATTTCGAAACTTACACTATGGCTATACGCTATACCCTCGCCCGCGCGCCGATTCATGAAAATGTCACGCATAGCTGATCTTTGAACTTGGCATCTCTGCAACACCAGCATGACTTCAAGTTCGGTGTTGTAGCTGGTGTTGGTGTTCTCACAACACCGAACTTGAAATCACTCATCGAATCTTTACTCCAGGGAGCCGGGAGCTCCTACGCCGATGCCGAAGGCGTCAGAGCTCCAGACGAGGGGCCGTATTCTGAACCCTGTGTTATCTCTAATTTTGTTGTATCTTTGGAGATAAGATAAAGTTGGTATCCTGAACATTGTTGTAACTTTTGTTGTATCATTTCTCTCATCTGTTTGGTCGTGCCTGCGTTCAAACTTTTGGGCGCTTGTGAATGTGCTTATTAGTAATAAAATGGCGCTTAATCCTCATTTGCATATGCGCTTGAGATATAATATGACAAGATAATTGGTATTCTGAAAATTGTTGTATCTTTTATCTTATCTTATCTAGCATGGTATTTACAACAATATTTACAACAGGTAGGGGGTTGTTGTATCTTTCGTGGTGATATAATGGTGGCAATATTTCTTACCCTGAACCAACTTTGTGCCAATAGACGAGGTAGAAGAAGATTATGTGTTGACCGGAAACATCACAGATGACAACTTTCTAAAAAATTACATGCTACATGTAGGATATGACGATTTTTTTAATGCTCTCATCTGAACCAATATAGTGAAAGCGTGACTTGTCTTCATGATCCACATGCCACAGCGCATATGATGACGCACGTAATAAGCCCTCAAATAACTTATTAGTATGCGCTAGGCGCATCTTCAGATATGGCAAAAAGTATTCCTATTGGTTGACCTACTTATCATGCTTATATAAAACAGATTTTGATTGGTAATGGACTAATGGTAGGGTCCATGCAAATGGGCGTGTCAACAGTGGTCAAAGATAAGATAGAGGCGGTCCTTCAAGAGATAACACAGGGATAAAATGATTTTCAGAATACCAACTTACAACAATATTCAGAATACTGCCCCAAAGCCCAATTTTGAAAACGGTTTAAATACTTATTGAACCTGAGTGATTAATTTTGAACCTGTTAGAGTAGATTCTGATCACTAATTCAGCATTTTAAGCTGACTTACTTTTCGCGCTATTTCAATGAGGGAGTTTACAGATAGCACATGGTACAAATGACCCCAAATATCCACAGATCTGCGTATCATAGAATGTACCGTTGGTGCATAAATGAATAATGTTACATAACGTTCATGAGCGCATATCCAGTATTCATCTCTGTGGGTTTTACCATTTTGGTACAAATGACCTTTATCTGCCCATGCGCAGATTGTATCTGTAAACTCCCTTATTGGAAGGAGTGGCATTTCGTGTAGTAGCGAATGTACATGATATACAGCGTGGAGTATGCGTACATTGAAGATACATCGTGCCACATGACTCTGCAAATTTTTCAATCCAGCGCCTATCGGGATTTTAAAAGTTTTTAACTCAACTTTTTAGCGTTTTTGTGATTAAAACTTGGTCATCGTTCCTGTGGAATTGTTTAGTCTTTTTTCCTTTGGTTATTTTGTGATTTAACTGTATTTTAACTAACGTGCTTTGGACGAGCCTGATAAATACCCGGATATCCGCCATCTTGCCTTCATCCCCTAACGCAATAGAGATATATAGACAAAATTATCTTTTATGTTCATTTACCTTCAAATGTCTGTACTTTTGTTGTGACTGTGAAACACTAATAGAAAACATAGCCATTAGCAAGAGACGCCTCTTTACACTGTCCTTCATTCATCAGCAATCACGAACACAGGCCCTGTTCCTGTCCGCTTCCCGGAGATTTCCTCGGGTATGGGATGAATTACCGTTAGAGGTTAGGGATGCATCGGTGGTCTCCTCACTTTCATCCTTTCTACTCTCTATGAAGCGGTCCCTTCTCGATTCTAACTAATTTTCAAACTGAGAGGGGCTTCCTCACTGAGAGTGGGGGATTCCTCCTTTTCTTTAATAATCATTGTTTATCAATATCCAAGAACTTATTGAAACACTGGATTCAGAATGTTACTTGTTTAATATTTTTTTTTTTTTTTTTTTTTTTCTTTTTTTTTTTTCTCTTTCAATGATACAATGATTATATTAATTGAACCTGGAACAATGGTCCACATTGATACATATCCACATTATGCCACTCTTCTTAAATGATAACACCATAGGCCCTACTCAATATTTTGTGAATGATTATCAATCCTAATGCTTATTGCACCTTTAATTTCTGCAAAAATTGTACATTATTGTGGTACATGACGTTTTATAATTTCCTTGATTGTATAGCCCAAAACTATATTTACGCTCTATTCATATGTATATTTTTGTTATATACAAGAAATTGCTGGTCAGATTTACCTTGAACAATTACACATCTCTTCTTTTTTCTTTTTAATTAGAATTTCTTTGAATGAGACACCGTTGGATCAATTGAATAATGACGATTTATGTTAATTGTGTTCTGGTTATTTTAAGTTTTAAGTTTTTTCTGCATACAAATCTTAAAGCACTCTATTCATTGCAGCTTCATATCCTCTTAATGCATTTATCGAAATTTAATTTAATCATGATTTTCTGAATGATTGTTTGTAATTATTTTGTATACTTATATAATGTGAACCTTGCAATATATTCTATTATGTCTCGGAATGGCATGTGAGGGTGCACATGCCCCCGGGCAACAGGGAAGAATTTCGCTTTTGTGCACCCTGACCCACATGCTATTCCTTCTTTATCTTACTTTGTATTTTTCCTATTTCACTCTGTATACACCTATATACACTGTACATGCTGAATGTGTTTTTATGGTCGAATAAATAATAATAATAATAATAATAAAAGTGGACCAACCACACCAACAGCCTTTGCCCTGTATACATTGGTTTGTATCACACTTCCGATCACTGGAATGCGCTTCTCACAACATTTACAACGGGAACTACAGGAAGAGAGCACATACGGTAGGATCTTACCATTTTTTTATACTACTTTCAACCCGAGATTTAGTAAAGAAATTCAATCTTTTACTACCACTACCAGAACCGCTGTACGCGTACTTGATGCAACTTAAGTTAATCTAGTAGGGAGATCAAGATTAAACTCAACACCTTTTCTTGGATTGCCACATGGGAGGCTACCACTCCTAATTTTGATAAACCTCCTGGCTGGAGATACAGTATAAGCCTAAATCCAGGCCCAGTCACAAGTAACTCGACTACAGAAATAGACCCTTGCACTACCACTAGAAATCGCCTTGTAAACCTGGCCCCTGAGAAAAAGAGACACAGAGGCCGCAAACCTAAATTTCCATGTGGCCTTTGTGGCTATGCTGCCAAAACTGGTTGCAAACAGTGCTCAAGCTGTGATGCATGGTTCCATGAAAATTGCTCAGGAATCTCCAACGATACAATGAAACTGCATGCTGACCACCCTAGCCTCATTTTATGCCCAGTGTGTGATGACATGAATTTGTCAAACTCCAATAGTAACCTGCCAACAAGTAACTCTTTTAATATTTTGTCCTCCCTTAATGAACTTGAAGTGAAACTTAAAGAGAATTTACCAAAGGACACGCCTCATTCAAGTGAGACTAAAGGGCCTAGTCTCCGTGGTGAGAAGCCTGATGTGAAGATTAGGAAAAAGGATAATAATTGGCATAGAGTTGACCACCAAACTGTCTCTCCAATAAAGATTTTAAACTGCCTGGGTTAATGGATAATAGTAAAAGGGAAGAATAAATCCACACACAGTGTCGGACACGCATGTGGGAGTACAACTACAAGTACACCGCTAATGAGTGCGACCAGTCAGCCCTGCATTGGAATCCCACAATCAGTAAAAAAGAACCTGTTCCACCCAAGGAACCATGCTGATCATCAGTCATACCCGGCCGAAAAGGAGAAAACGAGAAATCACCGCAGAGATCTCAAGGTCATCATAGTTAATTTCAGAAGCATTAATGGGAAAGTCGCTGTCCTTAAATCACTATTGGATCAAGAGAAACCAGACGTACATGTACAGGAACAGAAACTAGGCATGATGCAAGCATTAACTCTGCAGAAATTTGTCCTAGTTCCTTCAACATCTTCAGAAAGGACCGAAACTCTAAGGGAGGAGGAGTTCTTACAGCTGTAAACAAGAATATACCCTGTTTTGAACGAAAAGATCTTTCACAACCGGACATCGAATCGGTCTGGTGCCAGCTTAATTATCGAACCAAGCTGATGATACTGTCTTGTTCGGAACCTACTATAGACCCCCAAATGAAAAAAGACCCAAGAGAATCTAGGAGATGCTCTCACTAAAATCTGCAAAAGCAAAAAGTCACCACACATAATCCTAGGAGGTGATTTGTCCCTGGACTCGACTGGTCAGAGGATCCTGTGGGACCGAAGAATGCTTTCCACAAAGCACTCATTCATTTCATTCAAGAAACTCATCTTACACAACTTTTGACCACCCACCCATCATTATTAGGGGCTTTTGGCATCAGACACCCGCCCTGTTCACTAGGATATAACCCTTTTTGATTTTAGTCGACGCCCATTCTCTACACGATGACGTAATGCCCCCGCCGGCACTTATTCAATTTCTCCTTCTTATGTTATTTTTCATTTATTATTCTATTGTACTCTCTCTATTTTCCTTATGTTATTCTTTGTTTTTCCCTTCTTTCACCTTCTCTTTCTGTCTTTCTTTGTTTCTTCCTTTATCTTCTCTTATGTTATTCTCTGTTTTTATCATTCTATCACTTTCTCTTTCTGTCTTTCCACCCGATGTGAAAACTTTTAAAATTAAATTGGACTCACGAGACATTATAAACCTCGTAGCCTAAGCACACTTCAATATTTACGTGTTAAGCGTTTGACCCTAACCCAACGTACGCGACAACCAGATGTTGGTGATTGTACGTCACGGACAGATACAGATAAAGATACCCACAACAGAACACAGGGGCATGACCACCCATTCCAGCTTTATCACACAAGAACTGATGTCCATGCAAACTCGTTCTTCCCTAAACATGCTAGTCACAAAGGAATGGACCAACCGGCAACCTACCTTCTTCAATAATTTTTGCCACAACTACCTCTGCAGTCAAAGCAGAGCTGTTCACTTTCTTAAAATCTTGAAATCAGTCGAGTTTTGTACAGTGGTGTTTGAAATGTTGAGAATCAAAAGCACAGCTTTTACTACACGGCCAGGATAGTGATGCTCCTATGTTTGCTCTAGCACTGCACTACGTAGTACGTGTAAATAGGCAGCATTTGAATACATGAATAGTCAATACACTCACAACACACAGATGCACACAATCATGCCGATGCGGCTGATCGGCAAGTTTGACAGTGGACTCACAATTTGAGTTTTAAAATTATTGTTTCTAACATCAGAAATTTGAAGAAAAAATGTATTTTACTGCTATTTAGGTGTCATCAATCGTCACTAAAGTATCGATATTTAGTGAAATCAGTCGAGTTTTGTACAGTGGTGTTTAAAATGTTGAGAATCAATAGCACAGCTTGTACTACACAGCCAGGATAGTAATGCACTTTGATCGACTATGTGTGGGTTGGGTCACAGTTTTTTTCGAAATGTAAAGTAATGTAAGAGGTAGGCTAGTAGTAGTATTAAATTACAATTTTGACTTACAATGTTTTTCGACTCCTCTTGGCATCTTTCCAACAACTTGAAATGATAATTAGAAGAGGTCTTCGATGGGAAAAATGGTGATTTTTCGTTCTAACCCGATAATTCATCCACGTTGTTTCGTCGATTCAACATGGCGAAGAGAAAGTACGCATTCTAACGTTAGGCCTACCCTACGTGTGTGCGGTATAGGTAGCGTATAGGCTAGCGGCGCAGCAAAATAGAGCGCCGTTCGATAGCAAGCTTGATTGAGGTTGCATTGAGAAGAGGTGTGCACCATCTCGGGCTAACTCCAAAGACTTGAAATTCGATGGCTAACTCCTACTCGGGGACAACTCGAAATTTTAAAATTTGCACCCCCCCCCATGAGCGCCAGGGGGGGGGGGGGGGGCCCAACCCCCCAAAAAGGTAAAAATCACGTGTTTTAACATGATTTTTTTTCTCAAGGGGGGGGGGGGGCGGCCCCCCCCCTGGATCCGCCACTGAGGGACCCTAAGGCGGGCCTCTGGATCATCATCTCACCGTTATTAAATGCCTAAAACCCCTGAGCTTTATGGGGTTACGCCCCTTGAGCCCCCACCGGGGCTTTGCCCCTGGACCCAACGCCAATTTACGCTCGCTTTGCTCTACCTGATCGAAAATTCTATAGCCCCCTCCCCCACTTTGAAAACGTTTTGCGAGGCCTGCATGTACCATGTAAGAGTAGGGGTGATTCGGATTTTTTTTCCTCTCCCCCCTCAAAAAATATTTTTTTGCTAATATACGCCACTGCTCCCCCGTCCCTCGCATTTCGTCCCCTCCCGCCCGGTCATAAAAAGAAGTCACCGCTCCTGCCTTGTGCACACAATACCTACCGTCCCACTCATAAAATCACTGACGTACTGATGGGGGGGGGGGGTAAGTTGACCGCCCCCAAGAAAATTCAAACGTGGTTCATTTATAACTCGATACCAGTGATTTACAGTGATTGGGGGGGGGCACTATGCTACCCAACTTTTCAAGTACCCTGTTGAGTGTCCTGATTCAGGCTCCGCCAATTGCCCTTTTTACTTTGACACTATAGCACCTTTTCTTTTCTGATAACTGTCCTTTCCTTTTTGATAAGTGCCTACTTTTCCTTTCTCCGTAACATGCATCCTTTTTTAATTTTTTTTCCCTAAACTCGCTCGCTACGCTCACTTCCATTTATAGATGTTATGATTATGTTACTTATAAAAGAATTTTTCAGTATTTCTTCATTAGGGTTTTTTTTTGGGGGGGGGGGGGGGGGTCCTCTTTAAATGATGTAATTTTTTGCACTGGGTCCTCACAAATCTTAATTTTTTTGCTCGCTCGCTTCGCTCACTCAAAAATTCATATTTAGACCATCACACCTAACTGCAAAGAACGTTGCCTAACTAAGCAGTATCTTGTACCACGTAAAGAAAGAAACAAATATTGATATCATCCCTGGTAGTGTAATCACAATCAAGACGATGTAGGGGAATATACCAATGTCTAAAAAGGGTGTAGGTTTTGTTGATGTTTCCCTTTGTAGATGCCCCTTTTTCCAGAAAGGGCCCCTTTTTGTTGGTGCCCCCTCCACCCTCCCCACTCCGCCGCCCCTGCATTATGCTACTCGGTGGTGATAAGGATTTTGTTCTGACCCCCTAAAAGTTTTTGCTCATTCCGCCACTGACTATGATTATGATGATTAGATGAAGAAAACAATAATTTTATGCACGGTCGAATCGATCACGATCAGTCGCAATTATAACGAAAATAAAAGAATATATACCATACTTGGCAATAACATTTTCATTGTCAATATACGTAAGACATCACTAGACTTTGTAGTTCTCTATAAAGGCATGCAGCGCTAGAAGCAGATCATCTTCTGTAGGGGGGGGGGGGGGGGGGGGGAGAGGATCGCGATTCAGCTCAGACCAGTGTTTATATTTTAAATCTAAACTAATACCACGGATATAAAGAATAGCAGCGCAGTTCAAGGAAACCATTTACACCCAAATCAATGGGGTGGGTGCGCACGTTTAACGCACGCGAATGCATAGACACGAAAGGTGAAACAAAAGAAAGTGTTAATGTGGTATCCAATATAGTCACTCCTACGACACCGACTCCATGACGATCCCACCAAGATTTGGTCATTCGGGGTTATGTAGTTTTATATTCGGTCTGGTCTGGTGTCGGTCTGGTGTCGGTCTTGCGTCGGTCAATCGTCGGTCTGGCGTCGGCCTGGTGTCGCCCTGGTGTTAGTCTAGAATCTTGTAACTTTTCCCTTTTAGTTCATGGAATTCTGATTTAAAAAAAAATGAAATTCGAACATCTTGTTGACAAAAAGGAAGGGGGAAGGGGTGAAGAGGAGGAGGGGAGGAGGAGGAGGAGGAGGAGGGGGAGGAAGAAGATGGAAAGACAAAGAGGAGGAAGAAGAAGAAGTAAAAGAAAAAGAAGAACATTAAGATAAAGCAGAAATATTAGATAATTTCTTAATCTTCACACTTTTTTCACCTAGAAAGATATTTTACCGGGTAGAAAAGATTTAAATCAAGTCTCTTATTGATTCTTTAATTTATATATCACAGTAAATCATCATGGATCTCAAAATCCTTTAAACAAAATTATTGCGAGCATTATCATTTGAACGCATTATATTAGTCGCATTAGAAATCTGACCGTCGTGATTGTTTCAATAAGATATAGCTTCTCGCAATATACAGACACGTTCAAAAACGCTCAATAACATTTCTCGGCCCATGTTTCTATCTTAAAGGGGAAGTCTACCCTGAAATAATATTAGTTTTAATAAAAGCAGAAAATGAGAGGTGCAAATCGGTGAAAGTCTGAGCAATATCCTTTTTTTTAATAGGTATGAATTTATAAAGTTGTGATCAGTGAAACGCAAGTTGTCAACGCTCTGAGGTATCTTTCAAGGTCTACTCCGATTGGCTCGTACAGAAGATATTATCAGCTTTCATTTTCTTATTTATTGGTGACGGAATAGATTTGTTTCATACGGGAGTTGTATACAAATAATAATGTTGAGGGTGCATGAATGATCGAAACTTTTTAAAATGGAAAATACAGATTTTTTAAATAGTTTTTAGTACATGGCAAATGGGAGGGGAGCTCGCAAGATCCTTTACCGAGCTGCCAATTTGTGTTTAATTGATTGGGTAAGCGGACACTTTTTTTTTTTTTTTTTGGAGTCCCAAAAAAAAAATCGCAACGACTCAACCAGCCGAAAAGTCGCTCAGTGTGGGGGGGGGGGGGGGGGGGGGGGGGGGGGGGGGGGGGGGTGTAGTGAGCACATTTTTATTTTTTTTGGTCCTCGAAAATTTTGAAATTTGCACCCCCCCCCCCCCCCTTGAGCGCCAGGGGGGGGGGGGTGGGGGCCAAACCCCCAAAAAGGTAAAAATCGAGTGATTTTACATGATTTTTTTTTCTCAAGGGGGGGGGGGGGGGGCCCGGGCCCCCCCCCTGGATCCGCCACTGGGCGGTAGTGAGGAAGAGAATCACTTAAACGCGCTTATTAGGGGGTGTGGGTGATGGGCCCCCCGCGCGAAGCGCGGAAGCTTAGACGTTTTCTTAAATTATTACGAAAAGAAGACGATTAATAAATTGTACCGTTTTTGACTGGTAATCCTTGGCTGAATGAAGTTCCCCCCCCCTCCCGCGCGAAGCGCGGAAGCTTCGACGTTTCATTAAATTATGAGAAAAAGCAGATGATTCGGTATACTGTTCTCGACTCTTAATCCTTATCTGAATGAAGCTTCCCCCTCCCGCGCGAAGCGCGGAAGTTTTGACGTTTCATTAAATTATTAGAGAAAGAAGACGATTCGTCGTACCGTTTTCGAATCTTATTAAGCCCTATTCATCTGAATTCAGTTTTCCCCTCTCGCGCGAAGCGCGAAAGCTTTGAATCTTCCTCATATCATTAGAGAAAGAACACGATTCGTTGTACCGTCTTCGACTTTTAATAAGCCCTATTTGTCTGAATTCAGTTTCCCACTCTCGCGCGAAGCTTTGATGTTTCCTTAAATTATTAGAGAAAGAAGACGATTCATTGTTTTGTCTCGACTCGTCTAAATGAAGTTTCCCCTTTTTGGCGTTTCATCACAATATAAAGAAAGGAAGACGATTCGTCGTACCGTTGTTGACTCTTAAACCTTGTTCGAATTTAGTTCCCCGAAAATTTTAAACCTCTGATTTCTTTAGCTGATATTATCGGAAAGCGAATCTTCGGGAAAATACAAGTATTGTACTTGTAGTCACTCTCGAATTCGTCATAAGAAGTCACAGTTCGTCGGGAAAAAAAACTTGTCGGCCGACCGACGATATACATCTCACCGACTTCAAACTTCTGCATTGATTGTGCAAGAATACCGACACAGCTGACCCGACACAGCAACATATTTACCCGTGTCTTTCTTGCTCCCTCGACGAGACGACTCCACCCAACAACCCCCTTCTCTCTTTTACTCCCACTCCTCCTCTCTAAGACTCTTACCTCCCCTCTCTCTCCTCCCTTTCATCCCCGTTTCTTTTGTTTCCCTTTCAGTCTTTTTCTTCTTTTTTTCCTTTTCTTTCTTTTCTTCCTTTTCTTTCTTTTCTTCCTTTTCCTTTCTTTCCTCTCCTCCCTCTTCTTCTTTTTTTTTCTCTTTCTTCTTCTTTTCTTTCCTTTCTTTTCCTTTCTTTTACTTTCTTTCTTTTCTTTTCCTTTTCTTTTTTCTTTCTTTCCCTTTCCCTCTCTTTTTCCCTTTCTTTTTTCCCTCTCTTTTTTTCCCCTCCTTTTTTTCCCTCTCTTTTTTTCCCTCCCCCTTTTCCTTTTCCGACGGCAGCGCAATTTTACCGACAATATCCTGACAGGTGTGGGGGGGGGGGGTGTCGCACCCCCACATCCCCCCTTTGGCGACGCCCCTGACCCTCCCCCTTTCGAATGGTAAAAGGGGAAATATAGAAAGAGATGGGAAAAGGGGGAGGGAACAAGAGAAGGAAAGAAGGGGGAAATGAGAAAGAGAGAGGGGAAGAGAGAGAGAGAAAAGGAGAAAGAAAGGGAAAGGGAGAGAGAGAGAGAGAGAGAGAGAGAGCCGGAGAGAGAGTTAAAGAGAGAAAAAGAGCTGAGTAACGGGTGGCTGGGTGAAAACCCCACCCCCACCGAATGCTATGCGTAATGCCTTCATAAATCAGTG